GGAGCCCACATCTTGTTGATCACAGAAGAATGCGTCAACCACCTGGGGCTAAAAATCAAGAAGTCTGATATCAAGTACACCATCCTGGGAATCAAAGGGGACAGATCAGGGTTACAATCCAAGGCCCTTGTTATGCTCACCCTTGGAAACCAACTCAATACAGCAAAGAACTTTGTCATAACTGCCCTTGTTGTTCCAAGAGGATCACCCTGGATGGGAACTAACCCAGCCATACTTAGCTGGCTCAAATTTAAACCCAACCTCCTAGCTGACCCCTGCATAACTTACACAAAATGAATCAGTTGGGACATCATTCTTGGGGGAAAAGACCTACTCCCTTTATGTGAGGAAGGTGCCAAGAGACAGCACGCATCAACAGAATTCATCATACAAGATACCATAATTGGAGGAATTGCCCAGGGGACACAGGAGGACCAAGAGGATCCTCAGGTCCCAAGATCAAGAATCTTCGCAGCATGCATACCTCAAAACCTGAATGAGGACTACATGCTGAATACCAAAATATCCAAACATCTTCAGCAAGATTGGCTGGATATATTGGGGTCCAATCAGCTGACAACTCCGTCCCCGCAACAGGAATTGGAAGAATACCTGAAACTCCTGACGATAAGTGAGGAAGGAAGGGTCATTGTGCCCTTACCAAAGACAACCCTCTTTCCAGAGAACTGCACCCCTAATCTCACAACTGGGGAAATCAGAAGCCGCAGTGTAATTCGCATACTCAAACAAGGCGGAAAACTGGCAGAATCATATCAAAGCAAAATTCAAGATTGGATGAATTGGGGGTGATAACTCCTACAACCTTGGAGGAACTGAACACAAGGGGAATGACCTACATGGAGCTGCCACATCAGAGGGTTGCGCAACCCAACAGTGCAACCACTCCACTCAGTGTTGTCATAAACAGAAATGCCTCCAACCCAGGGAAGTGTTCCACAAATGACCTACTGCATCAAGGGCCCAACATCCTCCCCTGATAACGGGCATACTCTGCAAACTTTCCAATGCAAAGGATTTCGGAGCCGCCAATATAAGGAAGGCATTTATACAAGTGCAACTACCTCAAGAAGATCAGTGGCTGCTCATCATGAGATGGCCAAAGAGACATTCAGATGGAACTTTCAAGACCAAGTTTTTTTTATTTCTTTGGCTTCCATGGGGCATCAACTGCACCCCATTTGTCATGAATGCCTCCTTACATTTCCTATATCAAAAGGCTCATTCAGAAGGGCACCTGACCAGACACAAACTTCAGGACCTTGAAGCAAATACCTACGTTGATGACATTGTCATGACCAGGGACACCATACAGGAGGTCAAGGAAAAACTGAGAAAGACAAAGGAAATCCTCAAGAAAGGAGGCTTTGACCTCACCAAGACCCAAATTCACCCCAACCCGGAGGGGACCAACAAGGAGAGCTTCGAAATCCTAGGGGTTACTTACTATCCCAAAGACAATGGGCTGACAATTTGCTCATCAACAATTCTGGACCTCACCCAATCTGCTAGAATGACAAAATGCCAAGCAGCCAGAGTAATAGCAAGGATCTACAATGTAATGGGGTGGCACACCCCACTTGTCACTCTCATCAAACTAATGTTCCAGGGGTTCAACAACAAAAATCTCAAAGTCAGTTGGGATCACAAACTATCAGTGGAACAAACAGAAGAGTGGAGAAGGGGAGCAGAACAGGCTGCCAACCTCTGTAACATCTCCATAAAACAGGAGATCGCGCTTTATAACAACAAGAGGGGGAAGCTTCACGTCTTCTGCGACGCAAGCAAATTTGCTCTAGGAGCTGTCATCTATTACATCCCACCAGGAGAGAACCAAACCCCAATCATAGTGGCCGGAAAATCAAAACCAGTGCCAAGGAAGCAAAGAGTGGCCAAAGAGCTTCCAGATTTGGAGGGACTTTGAATAAATTGATTAGAGCTCTCCGCAGCATGCTTGGGAGTTAGTCTCGTCCTAAGGATCAGAAAGATCCAAGGGATCCCCACTGAGGACATCACCTTCTAGACAGATCCTGAGGTGACTTTGGCCTGGATTCTTTCTAGAGCTCCATCACCAAACATCTACATTAAGACCCGAGTTGATCCAATTCATCAAAATTCAGTGAAACCCAACTGGCACCATGTCCCCAGGGTAGAGAACCCAGTGGATTTGGCATCAAGAGGGGACAAGTTGTCCAAACTCACTGAGTCAACCCTCTGGTGGTCAGGGCCAACATGGCTTGCAAACCCAGAACTATGGCCCAGGTCACGGGCAACTTTGGCCCAGGCTGCTACCAGCATATTACAGGATGATGGCAAGAGAGAAAAAACCAGAGTTCTCTCACAATTACTCAACGGAGTCAAAAATTGGACAAACTCGGTACAAAGAATCCTGATATGGAAAAGATTTTCCACCTCCCTAAGAGAACTCACTAAGAGAGGAATCAAACGGGATCAGGCCGGTAATATCTTACCCAAGAACCCTCATCAAAATCACCCATGGTTTTCCCAACTCAATCTCATGCAAGGACAAGTGGACCTCATATGGATCATTCAACAAATTGCAATCCCTGAAATCATAAGGGATACCAAGCTAGGAAAGCAAGTTGAGAATCACCCTGACCTTGTCTGGAATGTGAGACTCAGAATGGTTCTATCAGAAAGCCAACAAGCTTGGGACAATAAAACAAAGGTGCCCATGTTACATCTGAGCAGGACAGCCCTCATATACCTCCTCATCTTGAGGGGCTTGGGGAAAAATGACCTAGTAAAGCTCCTGTTTAAACACTACCATGAAGAACTTGGGCACGTATCCTCAAATGTACTCATCACCATCCTCATGAAAACCTTTTGGTTCCAACAAGGGAGACAACTAGCTATATCAGTGAGAAAGTCATGCAGTTGGTGCAGTCGATTTGACACCAAACCATTTCTTCCACCCACCACACCCCTACCTGACTTCCAATACTCAGGGCTGATCCCCTTCCAGAGCACAGGAGTTGACTTTGTGGGGCCATTTTGAACCCTTGACAATGAGACAATCTTGATCTGCATATTTTCATGTGTCCTCTCTCAGGCCATCCATTTGGAACCAGTTTGAGGACTATCGATTGAGCACCTCATAGGCGCATTCAAGACCTTCTGTAACCTATGGGAGGTACAACCCATACGGTTGATTTTGGACAATGCCACCACCTTCTGTGCGGCCTGGCCTTTTCTCTTAAGAGCCAGAAAAATGCAACTTGAAGAAAAATTAAAGGGAGTCACCTGGCATTTCAATGCCAGAAGAGCCCCCTTGTGGGGGGGGGGGTTATGAACAAATGATGAGACTTATGAAGGACAGATTAGCTTGGACGTTTGGGGGAATTCCTTTCAAGAATGAGAACACCATAATGGCTGGCCTCTCCTACATGGAAAGAATTATCAATTTTAGACCCCTGACTTACATATCAGGGGAACAGGATGACCCAATGCCCATAACAACCTCCATGTTCCTGAACCCTCTACAGGGGATCCCACCTACAACCCACTACTATATGGGCCAACACCCATTCAGTTTCCAAGTGGTACCAAGACCAATCTGTCCCATGCCGCAAAGCTAAGACTGCAGACAATGAGGCACATATGGGAAAACTTTGCCCACTTGTACCTTAAGGAATTGAGAAAATTCCCAACCCAAAGGGGAAGGGGAACATTACTAGAACCCCAAGAGGGACAAACGGTTCTGGTAGAAGAATTCTCCTACAAGGCGGACACACTCTTGATTGGCTAAAATGGAGACTTGCCAGAATTGAAAGGTTACATTGGAGTCCTATATGGATGAAAGAATTCCAAGCAGTTTACATCAGAATGACCAAAAGAATCGAGTTTTACTCTCTCCAATTCAGATCCCTCTCAACACTCACACTCACTTGTACTAAATCAGGGTGCGACCTTCAATTTTGCACATTAGGCAACAAACCACTGTCAATTATCCACACAAGCATAGGGTGAGTGTCAGCTCCCTATCATTATTCCACACAAGCAAATATAACTAGGCTGAAACATTCATAATAAATTTCTATGCAGAAGTCTGCAAACATCATGTTTCAACTGCAAAGTACAATGCATCAAGTGCGGCATGAACCAAAATCCAGAAAATTTTAAATGGGTTATGTTAGGCTAAAATTTGGGTTGATAAAACGTTCTGGAGTTTTGCTGATTTCTTTGACATTCTTTGGAAAATTAAGCCCAATTGTTCTTTTGTAGCTGTAGGTAAAAAAAAAACTTGGATTTTATTTTACAGTTTATCCATTTTTTCACAAAATAATTCATCTCAATTTCTTGTAAGCAGTCATGCTCCTGGCAGATTTTAAACATTTCTGAACAAATTACAGTTGCAAACTGTAGCTTTATGGAAGATTGGAAAAAGTAATCAATTTGAACAGTTTTTTAAAAAGAGTTCTTTTCCAAGATTGAAATTTAGACATGAAACAAATTTAATGTTTGATTGACAATCAGCATAGTATCTTGAAACTTGTATAGGCTGCAAACTTTTAGGCGATTATCAGTAGTTTCATCACTGATCCAATCAAATTTTGGAACACTGCAGTGTGTAACACTCACACCTATCCATATCCCTCTTGTTCTAGTTCCACCATGCTGGTGATAGAGTAGATGCATTATTTATATAATAACAGAAAATAATATGGATCACTTAGCCAGACCAAATTGGAATACATTTTGCTGTATTATGATTTTTATGAACCAGCTTTAGTTGATTTTCAATGAAGTCACCTGGCAGTGTCATTGCACTGAAAAATTTGTCAAGTGTAAGATAATAAGCCAACTTGTCCATCGAAATTATCCGCCCTTTTTAGGTTTTTTGTCTTGCCTTGTAAAGTCTTCAGAAAAATAAGAAAATCAATATAGAAAAGCCCTAAATTAGTTCAATGAATGATTCATCCAGAAGCTTTACAATAAATCTGTTTTCGCTTATGCAAGAATAAGCTCAAGCAGGATTTCCTGAATTTCAATCACATAAAAAACAAGGGTATTTATCCCAATTGTGGCAAACACAAAGAATATTTCCTGTTTGCTGTTAATGGATGCTTTTTGAAAACAAAACTGATTTTGAAAATAGCCCAGCAGCTAAACCTTTTCACCTTTTCTTTCAAAACCTGATCTGGATCCACTGCATCTGTATGGAGTTGTGATTGAATTTTAACTGAACTTTTCATTTCAGTGTTGTGGAGTGCAACACCATATATTATACTGTGCAGTATAATTATGGTACAGTAGTACTTTAGGCAACAAACCACTGTCAATTATCCACACAAGCATAGGGTGAGTGTCAGCTACCTATTATTATTATTCACCACAAGCAAATACAGCTAGGTTGAAACATTCATAGTAAATTTATATGAAGAAGCATAGAAACATCATATTTCAATTGCAAAGTTCACCAGCAGTCAATGCGGCAATGAAGATTATACAGGTATCCAGAAAATGCGAAATGGGAGATGATTTGGAAGAGTTCACGGTTTCTACAGAATTGTCCAGTTTTACTGATTTTGTGTAAATTATTTTGGAAATGTGAACTTGCTCATATTTTTCTTTGATGAAAATGACATGGATTTATTCCTCTCTTTCAGGGTGAATTCTGTTTTTTCTGAACATTTCTTGTGGCACGTTTAATTGGTAGTTTCCAGAAGAAACACTTGAATTGTGCTCCCAAAAATGATGTGGAGTTTAAAATGTGTGAATCTCTTCATTGCTGTGGCAGTAATCCTTTTCGCAGCTGATCTGTCCAAGAGCAGGCCTATTGATACATCGTCTATCATCAAGCCTATAGAGGAATCCCCTCCAAAAAACATTTTTGGTAAGCTGCAGTTTTCCTTGAACTCACATCTGAATTTTATTTTATTAATGTATTTTTACAAGTAATGATAAAATTTAATTTTGGGTTGACGGAGCAGAACCACTAGAAGATTCTCCAGAAACAAACTTGACCTTACCAGAAGAATCCACCGCCGTCAATAACGGTGAGTTGATTTTATTCCGTTTAGATGCTGCCATGGAAATGCTTTCAATTCTTGCTCTTGGCATCATATGATTACATGAAAAAAATCGGAAATGGACAAAATTTCAATAGATGATTTGAAAACAGGTTTTGGGACCCGCAGAAAAACTTTAGACCAACTGTTGTTGATTTTCAAAGATTAATGAACAATTACATGATCCATGACCTGAGCACATTCTTGTCACCCTTTAGACATTTTGAGACAACCTTCCCATTCTTCTAAGTGACAGTAAATTACAGATAGTCCCCAATATGCAGACACCCCAAAATATGGACAATTTGACTTATAGGGACACTTAAAAACACAAAAAACAATCAGACATTGGCTCATCTTAGGGTCACTTTTCTGATATTTTGCAAAAAATCAAAACACTTTTTTATATATCCATATTGTTTGAAGAAATCAAGCTACACTAATTATATTCATAAAATTGCAAAAGTATTTCAGGATGAATTCACTCCAATTCATGAGCAAAGGCAAACTTATTTTGAACATATCTTTTCCATCATCATTTGCATATTGATAAAGGGAGACTTATTTGTTTTCTTTTCTTTGTTATCTCCTCTTGACACCAAAAGATGAGATTGTATGTGTTTTGTTTTTCACTCTTGTTTTCTACAACTTGAAGTTGGGGCAAACAATGTGTATTTACACTTTTGAGGACTTATTTTTAATTTTTGACAAAATGGAGAGCCAATTAAATACATTGGACAAAGGAAAGTCTAAAGGAAAATGAGACTCTACTTAGGGACATTCCAACATCAGGACACTCTTCATGCACCAATTATTTCCAATTTTCTGAGTCTCACAATGATAGGCGACAAATGCAGTTCAATAAATGAGAGAGGCGAAAACAGGCATTTTTCAACAGCAGTCAGATTACAGTATTTCATTTTTCACTTGGTCATGTCCTGGTCTAAACACTCAAATGAAAATGAGGCCTTCTGGCTGCTGTACCTTTGCAATAAATAGGTGAACAGGGGCTGTTGCTTGGAGAAGGGAGGAGCGAGTTTTTGACCAAAGAGCCTCGGGTCCTACGTCGACGATTTTGCAAGGGATGCAAATTTTGCAGCCGCGAGCCCACACCAACAACAACCAAGAGGAAAGATGCAGCAAAGAAAAAGAAAGGTACAGTATGAATTTTTTTTCAATGAATTGAAAAGGTGGAGCTAACATCCTCAATTAGTTCGAAATCAGAAAATTTCCTGTGACTGAAGGTGCAATTTTGTTAACTCGAAGGGGCATAGAAATTCAAATGCTGTATTGATTTTGTCCCAATATGTATATTATAAATAAATAAAAAATACATATATATTTAAATACAAAGTACAGTACTGTATTTGCTGTGCACTTCTGAACGGATCCATTTGATTTAAAAAGCAAGAAGCTAATTCCAGGTAAACCTAAGGCTGCACTAAAAACCATCAGCAAATTCTGAAAATTTTCATTCTAGCTCAGAGATAATCATATGTAGACCACAAACAGCATTTCCAAGAGGTTGCTATATGACTTCAAAAGAAGGACACGAAAACAATGATCAACAGCAAGTTGCCTTTTTAACTGATTACCAGAAAAAAGTAATGCGTGAAAAAGCAAGATTCTGCTCTCTTTTGCAAAGGATCTACGAAAAAATACTCAGGGTACTTTCACTCGCACTTTGTCGTGTGAGGATACAGACGAACAACAGAACTGATGAAAAAATTTCTGAATCAACTAATTTTCTTCAACTAAAATGTTCACCCGTCTTAGTTGAAAAAAAATCCGTTCGCACTCTTCTGCTGGCAATCTTCATGAACAATATATGATTGAATTTCGTGCTTATTTTTGGTGTCCCGATTTAGCTGGAAATGATTTTGAATAGTCAATTTTCATAAAGCCTGAGGCATGTGGTTGTTTTCCCACCAAAAGATATGGAAGAAAGCTTTTTCTTCTGGAGAAACGGTGCAATCCTGCATAAGCAGAGTACAGTATTAAAACTGTGATTTGTTGCTATGTTCTTCTGCTTCAATGAGTAAATTGTTGTGTTGCTCAAAAGTAAGTAATATGCATGCATTGTTAATTGAATCATGATCCATCCTTTCCAAAATCAAAGGTAGTTTGTAACCCAGAAACCAAATTGCGATTATTTTCTTTTCTCCATATATGGAGAGGGATTCTTCTCTACAAGGTATTTGTTTCCTTGCAGCTGTTCCCCTTTTGTTTTGGTTCCCCCTCTCTCACGTCAGCCCGCATTAATGCGTGACAGTTGTTATTGCGTGTTTCTCCTTTTCAACTTGCTATTTGTCAACAGTGACAAACAACTTGCACTGCCTTCTTCTAAAATCATTTGCGGTTATTTCTCAGAGAGACTCGTGGAACGTTTTAGCAAGACTCTCTTAAAGCTCTCTATTTTATGTTTGTGTGATTGTACAAATATTTGTGAATTGAATATATTTGAAACATATATTTTTATTGAACTCATATATTTATTTATACCTCGGTCTATGGACAACAGGTTCAAAGGCAACAACTGCTGCTGCTGGTCTTCTTATTCGGGATTGGGAAGAAGGTCCTTTTGCTGATCCAAATCCTGGCAACAGCAGAGGACATAAACTCCAGAATTTGATCAATACACTGAGCAGAGAGGTAAGGGAAACATTTCCAGTCCTGGATAATTGAGGTATTGCAAATCATCTACATTTCCCACCCCAGAAGCAAACACTCCCCAGCATGCACCAAAACTTTTTCCAATTCTCAAAAACAAAACAAGAAGCACAGTCAAGAAATAAACTCTTCCAAAAATCCATATACAGGTGAACCTCAATAACTGGAAACCTCCCCAAGTGGAATACTCCCCTGAGTCAATTTTTTTTTCAGGTCCCCATCTGAATCCCCTTTAAAAACAATAGATTAAAAACCTCTCAAGTCAAAAGCTTTTCCCATCAAACCTCCAAAAGTCAAATTTTCTGTGACCTGTAAGTCATTATATTTTCTTGACCCAAGAACGAAAAAAAGCAATAAAAGCAGAAATGTATGCGTTTGAAAGGAAGTGAAAGACTTGATTGGGCAAATGAACCCTTGTCTCCAAGTTCAGCAGCCTTAGAACGCATTTAAGCCCCAGAGTATCACCATTTACATTTTTTTTAAGTTTCTGGAAAAAACTGCTTTATACTGTAGTTCCCTAAGTCAAATTGTTGGCAGATCCATTGAAATTTGACTTAGAGAGGTTTAACTCTGAATATATAAAGGCTTTATTCCCCATTCTTTCTGTCATGGACCTCACACAAAGAAAATTGAAGGCTTAAAAAATCTCCCCAACACTCTGATGTCCATATAATCAGCCAATGAGTTGTTCTTTAAGCTAAATGATGTAGATCTAAATCGGCCAACCACATAATGCATTAACTTTCAGTATGGCTTTGAATTAATCATGCTATGAATGATGAAATATAAAAATAACACCCTGCATTTTTTAAAGAAAAAAAAGAGCAATGTGCAGCGTAAATCAAAAGCTCTAAGGGTTTCATCAAATTCTTCACCACTTTTTTAATGGAAATTATAGCTTACATAAATCAACAGATAGCACAAAATCAAATGCAATGAGACCCGGAGATGCGCATGTTATTGGCACAACATGAGTGTCCTGATGTTGAAATGGCCGCCTAAGTCAAATCCCATTTTCCCTTAGACTTCAATGCTAACATATTTAATTCGTTCTTTTTTTGTGAAACACTTCTTGAAAAACGGATAATACAAAATCCCCCCCCCCCCCGCCAACTTCATGTTGTAGAAAACAGAACAAAACCACATATAATCTCTTCTTTTGGTATCAAAAGGAGATCAAAAAGAAAAGAAAAATAGTGAGTCATGCTAGAATATTCACAGAGAATGGAAAATACTCTGAAAAAGAAGCACAAAATCAACTTGCTTTCAATTAAGAATTAGGAGTGAATTTATCATGAAACGTTTGTTGAATTTTCGTGAAAATAAAAAGATTGATTTTTTTAAATATCAAAATTTTCAAAAATGTTTGGATTTGCTGGGAAATTTTCAGAGCAGAGGCCCTAGCTTATTGAGCCAATGTCAGACTGTCAGGCCTCATTTCTTTTTTGGTTTTCAAGTGTCCCTTAGCTGAATTGTCCATATGTCAAGGTGTCTGCATATTGGGGTCTCAGTGTGAATCAAAAGGCTGCAATTGACATATGAGGATAATTTGTATTATGGTTATTTGGAAGTATCCAGAGCATGTGAAACTATTTTAAATTCTTTCAATGGAAAAAGTATTCAAGTAAGATATACGATCAATACCAATTCAATTTTTGACTCATCAATCAAATTCAAGATAATTGGACTATAGGTAATCATGTTGAGATGGCACAATAAAAAAAACATTCTTACAAGATCAGAAACTAAATTAAACATATATGTTAATCTCTGTTACACAATAAGACAGTGATTAAATTTACAGAGAAAAATAATGACCTTTCTTCAGGGTCATATGAATTTCCTATTACTTCAACATTTTGAAACAAGATAACATGAAATAATCTCCTTGAATTTCAGCATAAAATTGTTACTTCTTTTTGATGATTTGTGACTATATAAATACTGTAACTTAGAAAAACTTCACAATCAGCATGCTCTACATAATAAAGGTTCTTCAAACTCTTCCAAATATTTCCCAAAATCCTTGCTTTCCTTGAAGAGAAAACCACCAAGAGACTATAAAATTATATGTTCATCTCCATATATTTTATGTTGACAGATTGCATTCCTGAAAGCGGAAAACAGAATGGACAAACGAGAAAATCCGAAACCGCATTTTTCGCAAGAGGCGCCATCAAGCGCAATCCCAAAGGAATGAACATGTATCATATATACTTTCCCATAATTGTCATTGGATGGAAAACATATGATTGTGAGCATTATTTTTTTCCTTGATTGAAATTATAGTAAAGTATATATACATTACAACTTTGTATAGGTAATGAAACTTAATAATTCAATAAGTATTATTAACTTATTAATAATACTAACTAATACTAATAATACTAATAATGTAACTCCTGCAGCATAAATACATTAGTTTGTGCATCACCAGAGCACCTTCTCTCCTTATGTCCAGCATTGCAAATGGATAGAAATCAGCTTAAGAAAGATTTAAAATTAGTGAAATTCAATGAGGAGACACTTTCTATTGTTTCATGATATGAAGTGATTGAATGTCTTGGGGGGAGTTGAGTTGGGTGGGGAGGGGGTTTGGCTGCAGGAGTTTTGGTTGAGCCTTGTGAACGCTGAAAAGCGGCAAATAAAGTTTTCTGTTCATTCATTCAATAAGTATTAGCTTTTGAAGAGCTGAAAACAGGATGCTACCATTTTTAAAAACAAAACAAAAATTACAGTCAACCCCTATACACAATTGGCTCAATTTGGGCAGCAAATTAGTCTGCAGTTGTGTGAATTCAATTACTGAAATATTGAAATTTTTGCTTTTTGCGATTAATTTTAAACCAACAGAAGTTGGTTATGTGGATTTAGTCCATTGGAAGGGGAGGGAAAAATGCTTCCAGAGGCAGACTTTTTTGCAAAAATCTGTTGGGCAGTGGGTGACTGTACTGGAAAATGTTTTGAAAATGGAAGGAAATATTTCTAAAATGTATTTCAGTACCTCAGATTATAAATGAGTGAAGATTCTTTCAATTACTGTTGAAATTTTCCAGTAGGAGAAGAATCAATACTATGTATACTGGACAATTGAAAAAAAAACTAATGAATTTTACAGTCAATCTTGATAAGCAGTGCATGATACAATATTTCTGTATGAAAACATTGCAGGAATAAGGGAAACACCTTTGGACACTGCCCAAAGCAAAACAAGATGTCAATTCAGGTGCAATATTTTGCTGGGATCCACATTTTAAATGATGTACCAACAACAGAGCAATTCAAGTCATCTGCTTTTCCGCATCAACCCTTCCCAGACTTTTTAGAGCATTTCTTGAATAATCAATCCTATCTGAAGAAGCAAAAAAAATGAAGGTCCATTAATAATCCATCCATGTATTGTATTCTTATCATGACTCCAAGGAAAGATATTTCAGACTCTGTAAATGAAATACAATTTAAAGGGGGATGACTCCCTCTGATGATATGGGACTGTTTTGTTGACTCATTCCTTTAAAAAAATGCCTCTCACTTTTCAAAAGTACAAAGAGAAGCAAAAGGAATTGAAAGTTTTTGTTTCAAGTCTTGATAAACATAATTAAATTCACTACAGTACTTGAATTCATCATGAATTATTCCATGCTAACTGAAATGCAAAGCAAAGAAAATGTTCTCAGTGTGACCTCACAGTAATTTTTGCAATGCACTGAAAATGTTTTGTTTCAAATGAATGGTTTGAATAACCTGGGAAATATTTCAATAAAAATAAATTCAAGTAACTCAAGTATAACTGCAACTCTAAGAAATTATCTGAACAGCACTTTTTTCTAATAATTAACAGACAATACATATTTGGGAATAGAAACTCAACTATACCACTCCTGATCTGTCACACTTCTGTGAAGAAAGGACTAAGGATTCCTACCATGGTTTTCCACTTGAATCTCCATTAGAGCAATTTTCACTAGCTGAAAACATTACAGAATAAACATCAAACTGTAGGAGTCTTTTTTTTTATTAAACCAAGATACATGTTGTAGCTCACAATTCAACCTCCTTCAATTTGACTGTCCCTAAGTCAAGGGGACATTCAAATGTATTTGTCAGGTTTCTTACATTGTATCACTATACTGTATATTGGGGCTAAGTACCGTATTTACTGGAGAACCACACGCCCTCAAGTAAGGCGCACACAGGGGTTTTTCAGTTGAAAATTTTGCAAAAATCTTATCCCCAAGTAAGACGCGTACCTCAATTTTTAGTAAATCTGAAACCATAAAATTTCAAAAATGAAAACAGAAAATTTGACTTTAGGCGTGAATTCAACAAATATCTTACCAGTTTTCAACTTCTTCACCACAAAAATGTTTTCTTCTTACATTTGTTCCAAATTTCTACATTTTAATCAAGTATAATGCACACATAAACTTCCTAAAACTTCTTGAAAATTTTGTACCCACTTATGATGTGCACCCCTTTTTTCCTTCTGAAATCTGGGGAAAAAGGTGCGCGTGGTACTGAGTTAAATACAGTACAGTAATATTTTATTGAATTATTTTGCCATGATTTTTTAAATCCTTTAAAAATTGCCACTTTGTCAAGATGAGAGCAGTGCGTTTCCATTTTGAATCAATGACTTTCTGCTGGGATTATACTCACCAAAAAAAAGTTGAAAAAGCTTTGTGTATGCGGACCCAGGAAATAATTTGGTAGTGGGGGAGTTTGCTGCTAGCTCACAGGCAGCTAGAGGGCCCTTGGGTGCTAGCCATGAATTGCTCACCACCTGAATGCACAGTCCACCTATGAGTTGTTAGTTTAGTCATGGCTAAACTAACAAACATAAAAGATAACATCTTCTCAATTCAAAATTTCATTTGGGCAGCAGTAAAAAACAATCTAAAATAGGAAAACTATATGAAATTCTAAACCCTTTAACACCTTAGAGAGATAACTCCTGTGGAAGCATGAGATTCTGAGGATATCTATAGTTTGTCATCCTAAGGTTTGAGTGTGTCCTGCAATATGCTAACAATACCCCATTCTTGCTGCAGTTTTTCACCAATGTACTTTTGCCCGTCTGGTTAAAAACTCTCTCATGCATTTCAATCACACAGCCCTGGCCAGAAGAATGAATACTTCTTGACTTACATTGTCTTAATGGGTAATATTAGAACAAGGTAAATAGCTCTGAGAAGAAGACACTCAATGCATTTGTATTTGGCTTGATAAATTCTGACAACTTGGGATAGCAAGATGGTACTGGAAGGAAATTAATAATCATGCATTCCTGTATGACACTGCAAATTTCTTAATTTCTCAATTGGAGTACAGTATAACAAGTTTTGGAAGCAAAGTGATGAGTAAAAAACAATGGTCCTCCTACTTCAGCACCTCAACCAACAGCTGTTCCAGACCCAATCCAGAAATTGGAAGAACAAGTCAATTTACCTGAAGGACCAACTCCAAGAAGGGAATATCTTGACAAGAACCAATATTGCAACAGACAGAGTGAATAAAAGAACCCCCAAAACAGAACCAATCACTGGAATTCAACTATGTTTCACGGCAATTGACCTCTCCAATCACGCCCCTTCAATAACTGTACACTTCGCATCTCAGTGCAAAACAACGCATGTCTCAAACAGAAATACAAATACTGCGTGAAACAAAATGATTTGACTCAAATATTGTTGGACAGGACATGGAGTTGCTGATCATGCAGGAGTTTCAACATCTGTAGGGCATGTGGTAAGCATCAAAACACTGCACTATGCAAACTAGGAAATTCCAATCAACCCAGATCTAAGGAGGAAAAGAGACTGAATTCCAGTGACACTGGACCTTCCCAGTCCAAAAACCTAGCCGTTGTCAAAGATCTTCAAGATCAAATCTCTGAATTATCTCAGTCTATAACTCCTCCTCAGACACCAAGCCAGAACCCAGAAGTGGTATGAAAGTTTGGGTTTGTGTAAAGTCAACTTTCTGAAATGACAATTCCATCAAAACCCAAGCAATAAGTACCTCATTGAAACTATAGCTTGCATCTAAATTTGTTCTTATATTCATCAGCGCCATGGTACAGCATTCATGGAGACAATATGTAAAATGTCTTCTTCTGAAATTCCCCCTTCTTTGACACTGGAAGTCTTAATTATTGGATATTGAAAATCTGTTGAAATATATACATGACAATCTTTAATTGGACTTTATGCCATGTTTATTCGATATTATAAATGTACAATAGTCATCATCAAGGTGTGCTCCCATATGTTCAATGTTATCCCCCTCTCCTACAGGTCATCCCAGCTTTTACATATAATAATAATCACAGCAGTTGAAGTCACTCAATGTTTGCTCTTGTTGCTGGCTCTGGAGGGAGCGGCGTGGAAAAGGATGACCCTGATCAGAATGGCTGTGAGTGGCAGTTGTGGTTTCTGGCTGCACGAATGAGTTTCCAGTGTCTGAATATTTGGTGGATGAAACAGGCAGAAGTGCGTTTTGACGAATTCGAAAGGTTATAGCAAACTTCATGACGGATGTTGGGGTCATTCCAACGTTCATATTTTCTGTTGGCTTAATTGTTCCACGCGCGAATTGTGTACTGTTCTTCCTTCATTTTTCCTGAAGAAAATATCAGAAAAACAATTGAATGGAGTTCCTTCAGAGTTCGGAGTCTTCGATCCGTGAATTAATCCACTTCTGTCCCGCTGTGCTGATTTCCTGTGACATAGTGAATGTGTATCACGTATATTGAACAGTCCGGAGTAATCGCGAAAAACTGTTTTTATGCCCATTGTACAGTTCAGGCCGTCGCGTGCCACTTACGTTTCATCTTTGGAGAGTGTCGAATTTCTTCCGGAAATGGTTGTGAGTTCGAAATGGAAAATTAAAACGCGGAACGGTGAAAACCCTGTGATCGGTATGAGCTGGACATCAGCATTACTTAAGCCCTGCCGTTGAACCCGGGATTCCTCCGCCGATCTCAAGTACAAACTTCGGGAACTTCGAATCTCTTATCTTTCGAGAAACTGGAACATCGATGTCCTAAAATTGATATCCTAAAATGGAAGGTTTGTTTGAAACTTGATCATAGCCAATTTGCGTATTTCACCATCAAGTCTGATCTATTCTAGTGCCTCGTGATCGTTTGTACGTCGTACCGTCGACTGAAAAACCGTAACAGAAGATCCGCATCCGACTCGCGTTCGGAAATTCAGCGTAAGACGCGTATAGTTTCCATTACGCAATGATCATGCATTACTCCAAGACCCATGCGAAAAACTAATTCAAAAAGGAAGAGCGAGCAACGTCGAAGGTAATTTTCTCCATGTCAACCGTTGGTCCGGCATTCCGAACGCGCGGTGACAAAATCGTTCCAACGTTTCTAGCAAATTTTTAGGGAGAACTTTGAATCAAATGTCATTCCATCATCTTTCCATTGATGTTCCTTTTTCATGGTGCCGAATACTTCGGTTATAATAGCACAGAAACTTGAAGCTAGTGAATATTAATCACGTTTACGACTTCCTTTGACTCTATACATGCAGTAACCTGACCTTCTTGTGATTCTCAACTGATGAGCTGTGAATGAAGCCATTTCATACGATCTACTGTAACCAGGAGCTGAGATTGTACGAAAATGCATCTCGAAGGAGGTGGATGGATCAAGACTCCTCGAAAAGTGCATTTCTATGTAGACGAGATCGAGAAAATCGGACAACTGTTGAACACGATGTACTGATTTTTCCCTCGTTTCGTACCCTCACTGAACTTCAACGATTACCTTCTCGTTTTAGGTTGATACATTCAAGGTGGTTCACGATCACGAGTTACTATTACTGGAACACGAGTTACGTTTGAGTTTCGCGAACGGGTATTCTGAAGTGTGAAATAAATTAAAATCTGTTGGTGAATGGATGACGAGTGTTTAATGATTTTCCTTGTTGTACGGGTGGACTCTTTCTAAAACACTCTCGTCTTCAGTTTTCTTCGTACTGTATAAAGGTTTATTTTGTCCCGTGTAGTTGTCTTCTCCCCGCGCATGAGGCGCGTCTTATCAATGTTCTCTGTGATGAACTTTTCTCTGGTTCACTGAATTTTATTGCAAAGAGAGACCACCCACACTGTGGTTGATTCGGTGATCTGCTAAGTTTAAAAAGGTTTTCGATTGAACTTTTGTGAAATGATCGCATATTCTTTCAATTTGTCCTATGTCTGGGGTTTTAATTTCGTTGCGGGTAGAACGTATAGAAGCAGGAAATTAAGTTCCTGATCCTTCCGTTTCTAATGGGATTGATAAAGGATAATCATAACTTCTGACCAAAAGAGTTCCCTTTCAAGCTAAATTTTATTCCTGGTCACCCGAGTTTCTTCGTAGAGTATTGTGATTGGAATGCTTTAATGAGTATTCTGTCGATGAAGATGTCGATGTAATGGTGCACTTTTTTTTCTTTGTTGTGTTTTGCTTTGTTGCATGCGACAGGTGTGATTTTCTGCAAGCCAATGTAAAGGTCTGAAACATGTATAGATGACTACAGTGTTGGAATTCTTGGACAACCTGAAAATTTGTTGAGGATTCTATTGTTGTGGGTATGTACTGTAATGTAATTCCAAGTGTCTTTTCCTTGAATAATGAAAGTAATCGATTAGCCTAATATTTGCTGAATAATTACTCTTGGAAACCAATTTCACCTTCCATCTGTCAAACACTACTATTAAAAGGAAAACCTTAGGTCATTGTGTTTAGCATGATTCTCATCAGTGTTTCCAGCAGTTAGCAGGGTTTGTTCTACGCAGGATTTGTTGATTGCTTCGGGCATTATTGTGAATGACTTCATAATATATTCAAGTACTGCATACAGAGTCTGAATCGACTGAATATTCCTTGAAATCAAAGGATCTCTTCCTGTTTTTCAAAGACAACTAAGGCCTGTGGCTTTTTTGTATTCTCCAATTGTGTGAATGACTTCATTGCATTTGAGAAGGAAGAATTTGCATGCAGCATTATGTTTTGGGTGAATCTGATGCATGCTGTACCTTTGAGTTAGGCTGATCAGCATTGACTGCAGGTGTGAACTTTTTGTCTGATGCTTCCTGGAATTTTCTCTTCATTATCTGAATGACAGATGGCATCTTTCAGTTTTTGGTACTATAGCTGTATCATGAAGCCATCAGCCAAGCACTTTGATATTCCATCATCAGCACCTCTGGATCTTCACCTGCATGCAGATCATCAGGAGGTAGTCCATATGTAGGCTGTTCAGATAACTATGGAAAGCGTTTCTTCTCTTTATTCCTGATCCCAATGAAATCTTACAACTTTCTATACATCATTTCTTTTTGGTTTCCAGGGAAATGCCTCAAGTACTGGTGCACCATGGAAAGGAAGTGAACATAGTGTGTCTTCAAGGTCTTTGTGGTGATGAAGTGTTCAAATAAGTTGCAAGACATTGGCTGTCAGAATTCAGGATTCCATTCTGAATTTGAGGACCATTGCTTCATGCTGCTATTGCATGTAGTAAACTGAAGTTTGGTTTTTTGTGTGAGTTCTGGTCGTGGACTTTTTTACTCCAAATGCAGAAAGATGAATGTAATGGATTATTCAAACATTTTCCAGTACTGTATACCTCAATGAAGTGAACAATTTTGAGTCAAATTACACTTGGAACTTGAATGGGAATACTCAATTTAAGCATTTATGTCAATATGCAGAATATTGCGTTCAATTCGAGATATGTTCTTAATTAGCAATCCTTGGCTTGCAAGCATTTTTGGGGTATTGTATGGATTACACTCATTACCATCATGATAACTCTGATATCCAGTATTATTTGCCTAGATGTGTGCTACAGCAGTTTATTTAAAATCATATTTGTCTGGAAGATTTACGTGAGTTTGGAGTTTAATGAATCTCGAATTCATGGAGAATGATTAAGTCTGTGAGCTGACTAAATGTGTGTTGTACTTGGTTATAGAATTCGACATTTAAACGCCATCAGAGTCATCGAGTCCTCGATAGTATAGTGGTCAGTATCCCCGCCTGTCACGCGGGAGACCGGGGTTCAATTCCCCGTCGGGGAGGTACTTTTTTCAGCACCAGTCTCGTGTTCAGTTTTGTACACTGTTCATTTGCTGTATGAGAATTATGACAAAGCCAGATTACACTAATGTATATGATATGAGATATTTGTTGAACCACTTATTCAGTGAGATGTTAGGTTTTTCCTTCAGCTGAATATACTGTAGGTGCTTGCGGTTAAAATTTCATATTTAATGATATTTGTCCCAGGTCCATATTATTATGAAGCATTCAATTTATGCACACATTTTTAAAAGTGTGATGTTACCTTGTATGTTTAAAACTTTTTTTGAGACTTACCAGAAATATTCTGAATTTATTCAATCTGAAGTTCTGAACCATTCTGTTTCATGAGTATGAGTGGAATACGGTAATGGGATAACGGTTTTTCTTAATGATGATTTGAAGTTTTTTCAAAGAACCTTCTGTTGACTGAACTTCGTCAAGTTGAGTTTTTCATTGCTGGCAGATGTCGTCACCTTCTTTCAATTTGTCTGTCTTTCTTCAAGTATTTCCAGTCGTTCAGGTACAGATGTCACTGCTGGTATTTGGGTTTAATGTGTGGTCAGTTTACTGTACTGACTTGCAGTGGTTGCCTGTCGAACGTCATTCAGATTTTTTTGAGTGGTAAGTAGATGTCGTTTGAATCGGTGTTCTAGAAACACGGAGAAAACTTTTGTCACAATAATTCCAGAAGGTTTAATAGTATTTTTATTGTTTAAAAAATATTTATTAATGGTGTGTGTTTGTGTGCCGCTTTTTTGATTTTCCCGGAACTACCAAGAAAGTTCAGCATGCAGGAAAAATATTGTCATTAGCCTTTTCTTGTTGAAACTTGACTTTAATTATGTTGTTTTCATCCACCATCAGCATCAGGGGATGCGGCATGGAATATATAGTGACGCTCCTAAAAGCAAGTGTCACTTTTCCAGAAATATCAATACAGAGTTTATCAGGTAAGTGCAGTACATGTGTTTGTTCTTGGAGAGACTTCGAGCTTTTTTTTTTTTTTTACAATTTCAGATTCTTGCTGAGGAAGAACCCAGAGACCTTTCCATTGTCTGGCCGAAAGGAGAAGCCCATCAGAGTCATTTAAGGAATTATCCTATGCCAGAGAATTTTTGACTCATGCTGCTGAATGAGACACCACAAAAGAGTTTCCATCACATACTCAGGAAGAAATAAGAAAAGGATTTCATTCTTGTAAGCCCACAGCATTCATTCACAGATAAGGGAAATTTATCTCTCAACTTAGTGTGATTTGTGAATCTTAAAAATCACATGCTGAAGTACAAGGTTTTTTTTTGGAAAGGGAAATGAAAGAAACTCTAAATGTTGCATTCGAACACTTGACCATTTTATCTTAGCAGTTGGTTCAAGGTTATGTGACTTCCATGGTTGACAGGATGAGGGTTAAATATAGACTCTTCTGGTTCCTCCATGCCATTTGGGGCATCCATGATGAAGCCATTATTCCTCTGGGTCTTTTTGCAAAAGTAGAACTTGTTAATCTTCTGGATGTCAGTCTTGGTGAGGGTGTCTCCATGTCCAACCTTGGCCAGATTGACAGGCTTCAGGGGCTGCAATGTGGGCATCCTCTCATTCTTTGCATTTGTGTAGAGGTCATAGTGCATGAGACTGTAGTAGTCATATGGTCCTGTTGTGACATACCTTCCTGGGTGCTTGTTGAAGCTCAGCTCCCATCCTGGAGAATACTTTTTTTTTCATTATTTATGATGGCATCAAAATTAATTTAAATGAACTGCCAATAGCTATGCCTGGTGTACTTTAGTGTACTGAGCATACTTTGGGAAGACACTGCAGCTGGATCTTTAAAGAAATGACTTGGGATGACACCTATCCCTGCCTAAGTTGAAAACATACTGATTTTTGATGCTGGAGACTTGAATCAATCTAATAATTCTACAATGTGAATTTTGAATTGAATTAGATTCATTTGGGTTGTTTTTCTCAGCATTTAATGGTGGAATTAATCTTTCAGCAGTCTGTGTGAAAATCTTTACTTCCCAAATGTTAAAAAGAATTTCAGCTAATTTACAAAGACCCTTCCAAAGCCGTATTGTTGATCCCACAAGTTTTTGGAAGATGGTAATTTCAATGCCTCAAAAATGGTTGCAATGGAGGGACTGACTGCAGGTGCTTAGATTATTTATTCTTTCCCAGCTGTTGAAAATATTGAGGTTCAATTCAATTTTTAAAATTGATCAACTCATTGGTGTGTGAGGGAACCCTGGAGATTTTCTTTTTATGTCTGAAGAAGTGAAATTAACTCACCAGATCTGAGGTTCTTCCAGTTGACCCTGACATATTTGTCCCTGTCCGTCCTACTGTGCTCATGAGGGAACCCTAAAAGATGTACCAATTCATGCACCACAGTTGGTTTGTCAATGCATCCTGGTTCCAAGACCATTGCGTGTTCAATGGGTCCTGCATATCCCAGCTCTGCACCACAAATGGGTGTCCATTCACCCATTCTATCCCTGTGGAACATATTTTTAGCAAAACTTATAACATTGTGAAAATATGAAGCTGATGTTTTGCTGGAATAGTGCAAACAATTTCAGGAGGATCTTGTTACACCAATAAATTTTTTGCTTAACCCAAGATTGCATTTTATTCCTGACAGTGATTTATACAGTTTCTACCCCACATTTGTAAAAAAGTAGAAAAATTTTAAAACCATTGTTCAACAGTTGACCCCTGCACAACAGACCTCCTGTGTAACATATTTTTGCTTAAGAGACCACCTCTGGAGGAGGTTTTCCCTCCTGTGCAATGGACTAAATCTGCATAATGAACTTCTATTGGTCTACAATCAATGGTAAAAAGTAAACTTCTAATATTTTTTATTTTTGAAATTGCATGAAGACGTTTCACAAAACAAACTAGGCTGTTTTACAAATTAATTGTGCAGGGGTTGACTGCATTTATTTTGCTGATGCAGTCACCATTTCAAATTGTTGCAGTAAAATGAGTCCATGCTTATGTTTAATAATTTTTTTCATAAGAAGTATGTAAACCAATAAAGTTATAAAAAAAATTTTGATGAAAAATGCTGGACCAGTCCCAGATTGGATTTTTTTTGTAGCAAGATTCCATTTTGACTACATGCTCAAAGATGCTTTGAAAAAAAATTTTTGCTTACAAAAAAAATCTTTTAAATCAAAGAGAGGTCTCTGTCTGTCCTCAAGTCTAGCCAACATATGCAAATCCCTGTATGAATGGTTATCCTTTATTACAATGAAGCTTTCTTCTCCAAATCCCAATTTGACTTTGTTTGTACCAAGAATTTCATGTTAAGGAATATTTGAATATAATGAATTACCCTGGGAAGCGACGGTAGAATTTGATGAAGCCCCTTTCATGTGTCCTGCGCTTGAACTTCACACAGGTTTTGCTCCTGATATCATTCATTGATGAGAGGATAATTTTCTTTTCTTTTTGAGCTGTGTATTGGAGGGAAAACATTTTCTGGTTTCAATATACAGTACAGTACAGTATTTTCTAGTTAACACCTTGGAAATTTCCAATGCAGTATTTTTATTTTATCTTTACCCACAAAGCATTGAATTTTTACAGAAATGAAGCATGATGGTACTTTTGAATAGAGTTTGAAAAAGTTTGGAGTTGGCTTGAGAGATTCAGCTGATTCTTAATTTTCTGATGATGATTTAGTTTTAAAAGATTTCAAATATTTTGATGAAAGAAATTTTTTAAACCTCCCTGTATATGAAGTGAAATCAAAGAGACTTACTGTATGCAGAATCCAGCTCATACAGCACCACTCCCTTTGGCCACACTGGTCCCTTTTTTAGTATGTGTGAGTTCCCAATGGATTGCTGTTGACAACAATAAAATTTCCTTCATGTTTTTTAAACCATGTGTCAAATGTGTGTCTGAAGGCTCACCCCTTTTATCCCATGGCTCATCAGAAGGGCACCAAGAAGAAACCACTGAAAAACCATTTGTGGAACTACTCAGACTTGTGTGTCGCTTGTAAGAAAAAAAGAAGTGCTGCCTTTTTTAAATTATGTACCTGATTCATATTTTTCTCATAACGGGACAATGGTATAGATTGGAATTGAATGACTCATTAAGTGATTTCTGATGAGGTATTCAAAATGTGATTTGGATTCTTTTTTTTTTTTCCTCAGCAGTGTGTCCATGAAGTTTTGTTCTTGGGTCTGCATTCAACAGGACATTTTGGTAACTCAGAAAGTATCCCCAAGTTCTGAGCAAGGTTTTGAAGGAAACCAGGTACAGGTGTTATTTTCTGTCCAACATACAAGACACCATCTTCTGAGGCTTCATCCCTTCTGGTTGGAAAGGGGTTTGATTGGGTGCCAAATTGGTGGCAGTGGAAGGAAGCATGGTTCAACCAAGTCCTGGGGTGTTCTGAAATATGTGACAGACTTGCCTTGTTTTAGTGAGTACAGTAAATAGAGGAAATAATGGGTGATTGATCACCTTTGAAATGGTGAGCAACTGTGGCCAAAAGGAGCACTTGGTCTACTCCTTTGCCTTGTCCTAGCAACACACTGGAATGGTCAACCATTCTGAGGAAGAGTTGTTTCATGATTCTTCTGATGGTGGTGAGTGTGGTACCATTAGCATGGGACTGGAAGTTGATGCCCCACATGCCACCCATGACTGGCCAGAGGTGCCCAGGGTGGTCATTCATAGTGTGGAGTGTCTTGTTTGGGGTTGCCAACCATTCAGCAACTGCTGCAACTTCCCTGGAACTCACCACACTATCAAGGTCTCTTGATATAAAGGTGGTCACACTTGGGTCAGCCATTGGGATGAACCTCCAGACCATGTGTTGCACTTCTGTAACAATTCAGGGTAGTGACCATGCTCAAATTATTTAGAGTCAGTTACACTGTACCTACCTAACAACCAGGAATTTGGCAACATGGGACACAAGTGGAGGTTGCCAAACTGAGAATTCACTTGACACAACTGACTGCACACCTGTGGCTCTGCAATGTTGTGGTACAGATGAACCCCCCAACCTGGATACAACTCTTGAACCCTTTTGGTATTGTGTGCCAAACCCTGGACCCACTGTCCACCATCTCCAAACATAACAAATGACACAACCTTTGAGCTGTGATTGTGTTTCTGGTCTAGACACTTGTACCATGGGAGATTTGAGCTCTTCTTGGGTTTGTCCTTGTTACAAAAGCACACTTGACCAGATGATGAGTTATCTGGGTGACCCACTTGGTATTCCATGAGACAGAATGGTGCATTGAACATCCATCTTAAAACTAATGCTGCCACCAGAACTACAAAAAAGGAAGAACAAAGAAGTTGATCCTTTTTCAGTATATTCATAAGTATTATTTTTGCATAAATCCAGTGGATCAACACTGCCTTAACAAATTGTATTCAAGAAATCCATTGATGAGAAGTGATATTGTTAGTAGAAGAAATTGAATATTTTTTTCTTGAAACTTTTGTAATGTTTGTGTTTTGGTGAATGCAATTAATTTAAGAAAAGCTATTTTTATTTCCATCCATAAAAGAAAATTACTGTAGTGTGAAAATTTGAATGGCCTAATTGTTTCCAAAAATTGAAGCAAGGAAAAGAGTTGAAAACCCATTGTTCCCAAAATAAGGGAATTTTTCAGTGTCAATTCTTCTTTTTTCCCATACAAGATTACCCACCTACAAAAATATGGCCAATTACGGAACAAAAAAGTTGCAGCAATTGTTTTGCTAGAAGGTTACACTCATTACTCTACTCACTGGAGATGAAAATTATAGCACATATTCTGATGATAACAGGTTTCGAATGATGGAGTAACCCTCTGACTGTTCTGTTCCTCCTCCACATCCTATTCCCACTGAACTCCCATCATGTGCTCACAACATTATACCCCCTCAAATGTTTTGGAGTGTGTCCCCATGACAACCCTGGGTGTACATGTGTAGGCTATACAATATACCCCACAAACATACACAAAAAGGAGGTGAACAAATGCCCTGAAGAAATCACAAGCACAAGATGAGACTCCCCAAGATGATGTGTGGTAAATCCATTGCCCCTGTAACTGTTGATGATGACACACTGTTTCCATCATCATCATCATCTGCTGACAAGAGATGCAGTTTCTGGAAAGCCACTTCCCCACTGGCAACACTTGCCACAGCAACTGGACTCTTTGTAAAACATCCATTACATGAGGAAGCCAAGTCTTGTTATTCAAAGGTTCTCTTGGCTCTTTTGGGACTCAGCATCACATTGAGTCTGTTGATGAGACAGGCCTTGGTGGCACTTGTACATGGAAGATACACTGATGCTGTGGTCAAGGTACCAGGCATTACATCCATATCCTTGGTGCTTTTGCTGTACTTCATATCCTGGGGAAAGGGACAGAGACTGAAGGACCTAATGGACCTGTGGGACACTCTTGATATATCTTCAATGGCACATCATCAGCAGCAGATGATGAGCAAGAGTAAAGCCCTTTTGTCCAAGTCCAGGAAGCTGGCCTTGTTTCTGTTCCTCATGAATGCAGGACAATTCTTTGGGCTCACTGTGAGCACAATCTTTGTTTTTCATCAGTTTTATTACTTTCATGAAATTTTCTATAGGCTCTGGTGATAAAGGACCCAATGAACAAAGTGTTGGTCTCCTCAGACCCCATGTTGAAGGACACTGTGGTCTGGTACTACTTGGCACTGGGCAGTCACATGGTGTCACTGGTGTACTCTGTGATTTTTGGGTTTTGTGTGGATGCCTTCACTGTGTTGTGGGCCTACCATACTTCACAGGCCCTGGGAGATTTGTCTTTGCACTTAAGCACCGGTTTGGCATCACAAGCCCATGAGCAAAGTTGTCCTGACCAAGTGGAAAGAGTGCTGAGGATGAGACATGGTGCTGATGTTGAGGATGGTACCCCTGTCCTAAACCATCAGAGAGAAAATGTGTCCTTGGACAGAGTCTGGGGACAGTTTGAGACCCTGGCTGAGTTGACCCATGGGTTCAATGAGGTCTTTGGAGTGGTGAGTGTTGATGGTTTTCCTGAGTTGCTACAATTTCAGTTATGGTGGTTTTCTGTGAGATGCTTTCAGGTGATCTTTTCAAGCTACACATGGGGCTTCTTCATGATCCTGGCCTTTCTGTACGTGCCATTCAACACTGAAGGACAGAGTGATGAAATCTTCCTCTTGACATCAGTTTTTCAGTCACTCACTAGTGAGTCATCCAGATATTATATAGCCCTCTTCCATGTTAAACTTGTGAATGCCTCATATTTAGCCTCTATCCTCTCTGCTACTGTGAGGACACTGTTCATAGACCAGTTCTATGTCAAAGTTCAGAGCAAAGGTTTGGCACCTTCAGTCACCCTGAGTTTTTATGTGTCAAGGATGAATGAGGGTCTGATGCAAGTCCATGAAGGAGATGATGATGAAAAGGTTGGTTTATATTATTATGATCTTGTTTCTGAGCCTAATTATTTTCAATTATTACATTAAGCAATGAAATATTGCCCAGACAAGGCAACAACCATTTAGATATAACTCAAATGAAAATTAAAAAGTTTTGAAAATAATTTTGGCTCATTCAAAAAGACCTTTGGATGAGAGGAAAATCTAACATTTTGTTGCCAATTTTTTTCATCAATTGTTTACAAAGGGTACCATGTAAGAATATGTTTGTCTTGTTTTTAATTGGAATCCAGATGAAGCTACTGATGTTCACCATGTCACAGAGGAACTCATTGTGTGTGAGTGCAGCTGACTACTTCATCATAACAAGGAGCACAGTTTACCAGGTAGAATTTCTAGTATTTCATAGAGCAATTGCTGGATTGAGAGTCATTTGTGTGTTTTTTTCAGTTATTAAGTCTTTTGTCCACCTGCATCATCCCGTTCCTGGATCCCCAAAGGAAGAAGTGATGCTGTTTCTTTTTTTGAGTTGATTCACCAAAAGAAGGAGTGGGGTGTGGACGTCTGAGAAATATTGATAGCAGCCTTTTTTGGTGAAAAGAAATCAGCATGCCTTCTGCTGGTCAATATTTATGTTCTCTCAGTTTATATTTTATCAAGCTTGCAGCAGCTGGGAGGAAGGCACAACAGGAAGCAGGACCAGCAGTTCTTTTCCTGCATGGACTTGAATCAAGTCAGCAGGAAATCCTATAAAACACTTCGTGATTTTAAAAAATCATACGCCATGGGGTGAAAAGGGAAGAGTTCAAAGTTGTGTCAGAAAAGCATGAGGTGTGCTGTTGTGTTGCTTCTGCTGGTGGTTTTAATTGAAGCAGTCTGTGGTTCAGGTGCAGTCAGTCAGTCAAAATCTTTTATTTTATCATTCCATCAAGGTCATTTGATCATTGATTGTATGTGACAAAGTTGATCAGCAGGTGGAGTCTTCCAGCCAGTCTTGGTGAAGGTTTGGAAGCAGGGTCAGTCTGCTGGAGGTGGTGAGAGGATCAGTGGTGGTGATGCCAATACAAAGGCCCCAGTGTTTTTGGATGATGCCAGAGCTGCTGACAATATTGAACCCAAGACCACCAAGTACATCCAGAAAAAGCCAGGCAAGTTGAAAGTTTATGCAGAAGCTTTCCACAGGAATGCAACAGAAGAAAAATTGGTTTGCATGCATGTGGTACTTGAGTAAATATAGTACATTAAAATCTTGCTACAACAAATACCGTTACATCAAATTTGTCAGTGTAACTACATTTTCCCCAAGTCCTGGCAGAAAGCCCATAGAGTACATTTCAAAGCAAGTTTGTTATTACAAACTTCCCAATGCCAGTGTAACAAACTTTTTTGATGCATGTTTAAAATATTCTTCATGTAGTTATTTCCTGCAACTAAGGCAGGCACAGTCTAAAACTTCTATTACAAAATGTGACCAACTGCTTCTCGTAGCATGGATAAAAACTTTGATCAATGATTTCCAATCCCACATGATTCTTTCTGAAGGAATAAGAGATGAGTGCAACATATGGCATGCTTGATTCAAGCTAATTCATTTTCAGCAGATCCCTCAGTTTTTACACACAAAAAATATAAAATCTAAAATGAAAGTAATATATCTATGATTATAGACGAATCTCATATGAAGACTTTTTCGGATGATTAATTTTGGTAAGTGTGTCATGAAAATTACTATATTCAGCATAAGAAAACTTTGCTAAAGTCCCCAAAAGTTTGTTATGACAAGATTATACTGTATAAATGAAGATATTTTTTTCCATTCTGATGTGATGAAATGTGTTTGGATGAATATTTGATTTGGATGTGGGGATATTGATTGAACCTTGTGAATGCTAAAAAGCAGAAAATAAAACTTGCTGCTCAATTCAATTCAATAAAAATCTTAAGACTCAGTTTATGCTGTTGAAATCCTCCTTTTTCTCTGGTAACTGTGCCAGTGACATCTATGGTCCTGCATAAACATCCTCACATAGCATCATTTTCTGTATCCATCACAGACAGAGAACCTGGGGCAGTGTTCCTTCCAGTTGGTGGCCCAGAGAACCGCACTTTCAATGCTTTCTGGGACATTGATGTCATCACACCCAGCACCAGCACCACAACCCAGAGACCCACCAAACCCAGGCCCACAACCCAACCCCCCACCACCACAGTGGACATCTTCAAACTCTACCACTCTCTCAAGGACCAAATCAGACTCATGCCTACCACCACACTGAGGACCACCCCCAGGAGAACCAGTCCCACAACAACTACCCCCAGGAGCATTCTCCAGGACAAAGAGTTCATCAAGTGGCTGTCTGAGCAGCTGAAGCATGCCTGTGCCAGTGGCATTCTCAACTCACTCTCTGCTGGACCAAAGTACCGCAGTGAGGCCAATATGGACCCCAAGAATACCCCAAGTACACTCAGACCCACTGAACCATTGCCACAACAACTCTTGAGACTTGACCTGGACAACACCTTGCCCATTTCTTCTTATTTTGGCTATCAACCCATGCTCAAGATGCATCCACCTAATCAACAGTACCTTTATGGGAACCCAATTTTGGATTGGCAGCCTATGCCCCAACAGCCAAAACCTGCCACTTTTGAGAACAGAAACAACAAGCCAAACCCAAATCATAAAAACAAGAAAAAGGACAAAGAGGAAAATAAAAATCCAGAGGAGACAAAGAAAAAGAAGAAGAAGAAGAAAAATAAAAATAAAAAGAAGAAGAAAAAGAAGCCAGAGCCCAAATTCATCAATGATGACAGCAATGATACAGAGCCAGATGAGAACAAAAACAACAGGATGAATGCAAAAAACAAGAAACAAAACAACAGGGTGAATGAAAAAATCAAGAACAAGAAGAAATCAGGTCAGAAAAACAAAAAGAAGACAGTGCCCAAGAACAAGGAGAAGTCAGTGCCCAAGAACAAGAAGAAGACAGTGTCCAAAAACAACAAGAAGACAGGGCCAAAGAAAAATAAGAAGACCAGGGAAGAACCAGCAGCATATGATTATCACTTTTTCAGAAAATTTAGAGATTCTAAAATATCATCAGAAGAATCTTATGAAGTGATAGAGTATGAAGAAGTAGGAGACTCATCAGAAATGCTGTCTGAAGAGAGTCAAGATTCTGACACAACTGCTGACATCAGCAAAAACACCTTCACAACAACAACAAATTCCAGCAATGAGGAGAAACAGAAAACTAAAAAGAAGAGGAATAAATACAACAGAGGAGATCCAATCAAGAGACTGCACCACAAAAATTAAAGACAATTTTGGAATAAAGCAGCCTGCTTTTGTAATACATTACAACAGTACTAATCAAAGATCCAAAGTTAAAGTTTCAAGGAACTGTATCCATCACACAAACAACAAAATTGAAATAAATCAAATTCATTGTGCATATTCTAATTTGAATTCTATGTATCACCAAGCTTCAATTTTGCTATAGCACACATTTGTAGAGTTTTTTCTTTCTGTTATGACAAAAGTACAGTCAACCCCCATCTAGTGGGCTTGATTTCTGCAACGGGCAAGTCTTTTAGACAAAAAGTCCTTTACACGAATTCAATTATATAAAAAATTAAAAATTTCAATTTTCAACACCAATTTTAAACCAAAAGAAGTCTGTTTGGTGGATTTTGTCTGTTGGGCGGGAGGAAAAACTGCCTGCAGAGCTGGTCTGTTTGGCAAAAATCCCTTACATGGGAGGTCTGTTAGGCAGGGGGCCATTGTAGATTAGAAAAGTTGTCAATTATTTAAGCCAAAAACTTGGCTTATACTAGCAGACCCATTTATATATATTCCGCAGAGTTGTTGATACAAATCAATACAACTAATTCTTATCAAACAATTTCATACAAATTCCACATCATGACTATTCCAAAAACCAGGCACAAGTCTACAGTGGATTTTGCTGTAGCACATTCACAAATAAAATTTTAATTGTAAATTCCCAGCTAACTTTTTCTCATTTCAACAAGAACCTCAAAAACTCCCTGAGAAGTAAAATTAGCAAAAATGATCTTCACTCATCCATTTTGGTCATTTCAGTTTTTGTTCAGCTGGAAGATGTGATTCAAACCACAAGAAAGAATCCATGATGTCTCTGATCACCATCTTTATGTCACTTGGCTGCTGGAATATAGCCTTGTCTCCAAATATCCCATACACAGTTTCCTTGTTGTAGGTTGCAATGCATGAAAGAACACCTGTGGGTAAACATTTGCAAAAAAATATGAGCTTTAAAACAATTGGAGGTACATTTGAAACAATTCAACTGCAAATTGAGAAAACTTCCAAACATTGCCATCACAGGTTAAGATATGATAGCATGCATATAATTTCTGGATTTAGTTGACCTGACTAGGACCCATCTTTATTTTGAGTTGTTTTTGAAAAACTGTATGGCAAAGAGAGGGAGTAATTGTTTAAAAGGGAACACTGTTCTAATGACTTACCAACACCAGGAAAAAGGGGCATTGCAGGCATCATGGCCACAACGTTGTGTCCACAAATGTCCACAGGCTCATCAAACCCTATGACATTGGTGTGGAGCACTGTGCTGCAGCATGGAAGCCTTCCTACAACCCAGTTCAGGTGTCTTGGGGACAACACATACTTGGTGAACAGGTCCAAAGCAATCAAAGTGGTTTCACATCTATCCATGAACTTTCCTTTGGATTCTAGGATCATCTTCAACCTAGTCTCCATGGATTCTGGAAATTTGGCAGGATAGTCAATGTTTGAGATGATGAGTTCATTCCCCATTTGCATTTGGGACTCCTGAGACCAAATGCTGACCATTATGCAGCAAGACACCATTTCCTCTTCTTTAGAACTTTTCTCTGTCCTGGTCTCATCCTGCAACATAATTTATCTTCTTCTGTCTTGGTTTTCTTCATTCAATGAGGACATACAAATGAAAATCTAGCATCATCCATGAGCATTAGAGTAAAATTTCATTATAACAAATACCATTTCAACAAACCTTTCCATATACAGGTGGTGCCCTGCAATTTGACCCTAATCTGTTGCTGGATTAGGGTTGAATTGCAAAGCAGTAAATTTCAAAAAAAAAATGAAATGTCATGTTTTCTATGTGGTATTTGAGATTTTTGCCCATCTCTGATAATCAAATTGCAGGGCCTAGGTTGAATTGCAAGTTAACCTCCAGGCAAATTTGACCATCAAATTCCAGGATTATCAAATTGTGGAAGGTCAAATTGCAGGGTACCACCTGTAATGTGTAAGAAACTGTTTTCAAAGTCTGAGTCCTGACATGAATATCATAGGGCACATGTTATAAGAATCTCAGTACAAGATACTCTCCAATTCCAGCACAACAAACTTTTTTGAGTTTCATGTGATTTTCCTAATGAAAATCCCCAATCAAGGCGGGCACAGTCTCAAATTCCCCATTCAGAATTTGACTGTGTCTATAGTTCTTGGGACAAAAATTGAAGTTTGAATGGAGAACCAAAATTCTTGTAATTTCACTCGAACTTCCTCTCTTTCAGAAAATGTCTCAGGGTCAGGAAAGATGTGGGGCGGGGGGTTTATAATCTTTTTAAATAATCCTGCAAAACTCCTGTTAAAAGAAGCACAATTCAATTTTGTCTGAATGCTTAAGAACCTCTACAATTGCTTCCCAACTGTAAGTGCTTTAGGAACATCCAACCTCACAAATCTGTGAAGGAATTGCTTAGAAAAACCTGAAGTCCACAAAAAAATGCTACTGTTTACCCATTATTCAGAGCAAATGTTTGTTATTGAAATTTCAAGTTCTCTTTGAAGATCACAGTTTTCCAAAATATAGCAAAACACATGAAAAGGGAACACATTGCAAAAGGAATATCTTGAATATGTGCAAGATTATTTATTTTTTAATCTTTGCAGTCTAAATTTACAAAAATATTGCTACAGTATTACAAATAATTCAGTATAACAAACTTTTCTCTAAATTTAACCCCCCCCCCCAGTATTGCTACTGTTGAAGATTTCATTGTAGAAATCAGAAGATAAAATGAAAGTCTTTATGCTTGAACTGCATATTTAATGGTTTCATTAATTTTGCAATGCACTGAGGTCTTTTTTGGGTTGAAAATAAGAAATTGGATCTGATAATTGATCGAGAGACAATAATATGCAAAACATGGTTTAATTGTTCACCAGTCTGTCTCTGAGTTTGTCAACAGCAGCAGACAAACAGCAGTTGTAAAGGATGTCCACACTGGTGTTCCATGACCTAGCAACAGCTTTCCACCTTGAAGTCTTCAAAGGTTTGCTAAAGAACCCTGTGGGTTTCCCAGTTGGACCCTGAGCCAGTTTCTTCTTCACCACATTCACATCAGGGCACAGACCATAGAGTCTGACTGAATCTTTCCAGCATTGTAACCAAAGTTGCTTCAATCTGATGAGTCCACCAGTGAACCTTGGTTTTGGTGGCAGGATCTGACTCAGGCTGGATGGTTTGGATCCCAGCAGTGGCACAAAGAGATGAAATATGGAGAACCCATCCATGAACTCATGACTGGCAAGAATGTTCACTGTGGTTTCAGTTCCATCTGAACTTCTGAAAAGTCTGATTTTCCAGGCACTAGTTGTTTTTGGGAAGGGCAAACTAGGGGTTTCTTCCACTATCAGAGTTGCCAAATGGTCTCTGTCATGGTACTTCACTGGGCACATCTCTAAATGATCCTCAAGCTGAAAAAAAATATTGGAAATGATTTCTTTTCAAATTCCTATCCTCATTGTCAGAAAAGTTAGTCTCACATTGAAGTCAGAGTCAGGCAGCCAGATCCAAAACCCAAGAAATATCCTGGAGTAGTACCTAAGTTTCCAAAAGTCCTCTCTCATCAAAATCTTTTGCAATTTGGACCTCAGGTGGTCCAATGTAAGATCATGTCCTTCAACCATGTACATGACATTCACTCTGTCATGGAACTCTGAAGAGTGGTACACATCACCAGCAAGGGTATCCCTGTTGGACATGAATTTGGCCCATCTGCCAAACCTGAGCTTCATGCAAATGAACACCAGAGGTCGCCAGATGAGGCATAACAAAAACAGTAGCATCCACTGCACAAATACAAAATGATAGTTGTCACTTAGTCTGAACATATTGCAGGTATGTTTCAATATCAGCCAGACAGAAGCCAAGGAATTTCAGTTTATTCCACAAGTTAAACAGAAAATTCATGCTGAATAATCCTGGAAGAATATTCAGCATTATTGATGGCAGATAATGTGACTGTCACTTTTTCTTCAATGATGAAGTGAGAGCAACAGTCTCTGTGCTGAGTCACTTCTTGCATTTATTCCTTTCAAAAGTGCCATTAAAAATTCCATCCAAATTGTTTTCCAGTTTCCTTCATGAAAATATCATTTATTTTCATATCAATATAATTTAGTCAAATGCCATTTATTGACTCCATCATTCACATTGTAAATGTGGTTCTTATGAAAACGTTAACCTTAACACAACCCCCTTGCAATGGACTGAATTTGTGCAACAGACTAGTCTGTGGTGCAAAAAGTATGTTATGCAAATTCAATTATTAAAAAAATAAAATGTTTACTTATTACCATCAATTTGAAACCTTAACCAACAGGAGTTTGTTTTCTGGATTTTTTCCATTGCTTGGGAGGGAAAACCACCCCCAGAGGTAGTCTGTTTTGCAAAAATCCATTATGCAGGAGATCTGTTGTGCAGGGGTTGACTGTATTTACAAAAGGGAAAAGAAAATATGTACATGCATTTCTTACATTCAAGGACCCTCATTTCTGACAAAACTTTGTAAAACTGCATTCTGTTAAACATTCAAGAAATCCAAAATAAGACCAGTGAAGCAATGAATGAAAAATCAGATTTATTCCCTGGCCATGAAAGGCTGAAATCTACTGCAGTAGAGAATCCAAGAATTTTAGTTATGGAAATTGAAAAAAGTGAGGCAAAGAGAATGAATTGTTTGTTTCTTAAATATAAGGTAACATCTAAATCAGCAGAATTTCTGAATAAAGCATGATGCATATTTTAATCTCAAGTAACGGGTTGGAAATTGAGGAATTCAGTGTAAACATCTTAAAATGGAAATTTTTGTAGAAGAGCAAATGAAAAATATGGGTCCAGTTGAGAAGAAAAAGTATAATTTCCATTTCTGAGTTCCTTGGAAGAAAGTGAAGTGCTGCCTCCAGATTGCTGAATTATTTATTTTCCCATGAGGGTAAGGGCTTCTTTTTTATTGTTCCTGCATTTTTGGAATATGCATTTGGGATAAGCTGAGATCAGTGACACGGATTTTATTCATGCATTGATTCACATCTTGACTGACCCAAAGGGAAATGAACCCCAAGGAATATTTTCTTGGGTGACCCCAGTGCAGTAGGTGTCCAGTTTCACTCATTTTTTCTCATAGTGTAGAAAAAAAATGATATTGCTACAATTCTGAGTTTTTATCATTCAGTTTATTGGATAACCATGAAAGAAATTGAATGACAATAGTTAAAACCATTTTTTTTCAAAAACCAAGAAAGATTTACAAGTATTTGAATTCAATGAAGAGACCCTTTCTGAAATCTTAGAGGATCAAGATGAACTGTTGGCCTTATGTGATTTCTCATCAAAGATTCTCTCTAATTTGTTCATTCAACTATACCTCATACAGAAATAAGCTGAAGACCTTGTGCTTTAAATTAATTTTTACGTATATTTTTTTCAATGTCAGGGAATGAATGGGTGTATGCATACATGTCAGATGTCCCGTTGTATTTCATGGATTGTATTTTCTTTTATTTTTGTAATCAATTTGTGCCCTGTTTCCTGCTCTGAAGTGTTGAATGTCTTTGATTGGATTTGGGTTGGGTGGGAAGGGGGCTTGGATGTGGAAATTTTGATTGAACCTTGTGAATGCTGAAAAGCAGCAAATAAAGTTTTCTGTTCATTCACTTGTTCATTCAAAAACCAAGGAGGAGAAAGCTCTTTGAAAAACTCACATTTTAAAATTGTTATGTCAATTTTTAGTTCATTGTTGGGATTTTTAATCATTTAAATATGAACAAGTGAAGAGAGAGAAAAAGAGGATCAATTGCAGTCTAGTGTTTTCTCATGCTTGAAGTGCCACAAATAACCCTTTTCTTCTCATATCTGGTTATCAGCAAGTTAGACACTTTTTAAATCAGACTCTTATTCATATTCATGTCTGTGTGTGTTCTGAAAATCTGTGGAAAATGTCTAGGAGGGGTGGGGGGCATCTTTGAAATTGTATCAAGCTGAGTGAAAATTTCTTCATATCCAGGTTTCTTCCTGTAAAAAATACTGAAAATATGAGATTCAAGTGGTTTATCATCATGCTGATCATCCTGGTGGCCATTGGCTCAACAGTTGAAGCCAGTGGATGGCTGAAAAAGTTGCAAAGGACATTCCAAAAGACCTTCAGGAAGAGCAGAAGCTATCCAATTGAGTCCCAGAGAAGAATAGACCACAGTACCAAACACAACTTTGTCCACCACAAGAAAGTCACAGGATTTAAAGGACCAAAGCTTGACAAGCACCGTGGAAAGTACACCAAGGAAAACTATTATGAGCCCCAGCACCACAAGTATGACCATTTTGCAGAGGTCTATGGCAGCAGGACCTATGTTAATTTTCCTAGAAGGTATGGGTATGGTGGGAACCCTTTCACCACCAACAAGCATAAGCACCCTGGGTTCACACCCACTGGTAAGGGTGTTGGTCGCTATGCATTCATTGGCAGACTTGCTGGTGAATGACAAATTGCGAACAAGAAAGTTGTTTTCATCACTGTGGAAATGATACCATGAGCAAAACATAGAGTGCCATTCTCCAAATCTGTAAAATGCAGTGGTACCTCAAAATTTCTTGTTTGTTGCTGGAGATATTGCTGCCATCATGTGTTGAAGTTTGCATATACAATGGCTTGGTTGTGGTTTATAAAAGTGTGTGTGAATAAAAGTGTGTTTAAAAAAAGCCCTCCTTCCTTTCAGCTGAATTTATTTCCTCTAAAAAGCATGAGGACATGATGAAGACCACCTTCTAATCTTTATCAAACACCAGCTGTTTGCTCTTTTTTATTTTGAAGCTGAGTCTTTCTTCTCTTGTGTCTTTTACTCCATCTGACTTGAAACTCACTCATTGTGAAGGTGGTGAATAAGGTCAAACATGAGCCTATTTTAGCTATCCACCATGGGATGGACTATTAAAGCTGGCATTCCTCCACAATGGGTGAATATCAAGAGAGGAATTCACTGGATTTTAGTACATCCAATCACAATAAGTGAATGGGTTTTCAGGAAACTCATCATGATTCCCAAGAGCCAAGATGGTTAGTTGCCTGGCCTCCAAATGAGCTGGAGTTTGTCTTGGACTCCAAGCATGAGAATTTGCTGAAAGCAGCCATGTTCCTGGTAAACTTGTCCCCTGATATTCAGGTCAGGGTCAAGGTCAAGGCCCCTGCCAGGGCAGCAGAAATGGTTGCTGCTTCTCCTTCAACTTGTCTTCTGCTTCCCAGGCAATCCAAGAAGATCACCTTCTTTGCCAGGGATTATGATGAGTCATGTTGTAAGATCAAGGTCTGTTGACATCACCTGCTCTCATTTCCATTGCATTCTGTGTTTTTTTCATTTTAGTTTTCCAGAACAGTAATGCAGTGGATCCTTGGTTAATGAACTTGATTGGTTCCAGACAAATGTTTGTTGGCAAAAAAAAAGTTTTACTGGATTTATTGTTCCCTTAGACTTCAATGAGGAAGACTTTAATCCATTCTGTGAACCGTATTGGTAATTGAACATCGCTTATTCAAAATTCAAAACCATCAAGTGTAATTGGAATAAGCTGTAGCTTCATCTTCTATGAGCACATAATGCTTTTAAAGTGACATATGGAAGTAGCATTGTTGAAAACTTATAGAAAAGCTTGACATCCAGAGAAGCACAAACTGAAGGATACATGACTGTTGAAAATTAAAATTTCTTATAAATGCTACATATAAAGACGATCAAATATAAATTTCTAACAATTTAACAGCTGGGAAAATCAGCAAACAGAGAAAATAAAATAATTCTGTCACAGGAGAGCATGTGCATACTGCAGGAGGAACAAATTTAAAACACCAGATTACACTTATCAAATTGCCAGCAGGAAAGAATTTCCACATCAGTGCAAAAGTGTTGCAAAATTTTTTCCCTATTTGGGGCTTTAACCAAGGGATTTTTCCAGAAAACCATAAGTTTTTCAACTGAAAAGTTATTTAGCCAAGTGTTCACTGTACCTCAGCTTTCACAAATGACAAGGCATTCACATGCAATCTGCACAAAGATTGAACAGTTCTTATTGTATTGAGAGAAGGTAATTGTTAAATTTGTAGCAATGACATTCTACAGCACAGCAGTGATTACATTGGCCCCCAAAGAGGATCCAAAAAATATATGGAAGGGGTCTTCAGTCTTCAGTTTATTCAACTTTTTCTTTTCAACATGCAACCTGTGTGCATGTCCAAAAGATTATGCTATGACTTATGCATTGTTTTAAATTTGTTTTAGGTAATACAGCTTTCCTTTCTTTTATCCACTTATAACTCATCAAATTGTTGGCAGTTGGAAGCTGAAAGACTCATGATGGATGCCACCTCAAACCTCAAGGAACAGCACAACTATTGGGTGTATGAAGTTAACCTCAGGTTTCCTTTCCCCAAAAAAGTGTCCTTCAAAAGTGCCTGTGATGAGCTTGAGAAACAGCCTTCAGGAGTTCCTGACCAAAACAATTCATTTAAAGGACCTGAACATGACACTGTAATACATTCTTTCATAGTACTTTCTTGATATTTGATGGTGATGTTTGTATTGAAGGTTGATGAGAATGTGCAGGAGAAGCTGATTCAAGAACTGAAGTCAATTATATCTGGAAATGCAGTTTGCAGTCAATCAGCACCTTTGGAGAAAGTATCTACACCAGTCTCAGGTATTTTTCTCACAACTGTAGACATATATATAGAGGTCAAAGCTTGCTTTTTTATTTTTTGTTCAGGTAGATTAATAGAATTGCATTCTGATGGCCCTGGGTGCTCAAGTCAGTCAAGTTTTTCATCCAGAGAAACCTCACCTGTTTTTGTGCAAACAGTCTTTGACAGAAGTTACCTTCCTCAGGGATCACAAAGTCAGCCCCTGAAGATGAATAATGTTACAAGAATCCCTCATTGCCTCTCTGCTCCTGTTCAAGATGAATACTTTTTCCCTGAAGATTTCAATTCACGTTCCAAGTAATGAGATTCATTTCAACATTGGAGATTCGAGTGATGGATGAGATTTGGTTTCAGTTTCCCTGAGCCTATGGATAACCAGCATTCCTGGAACTCTTTTGCAAGCACCAACTTTATTTACCAGAGGTCTGGTTCACTGAATGCATCTGTTGAGAAAACAGGGTCCTTGAAGTCTGCTCCATCTTCATCAGACTGGGCTCATCAGATGGTATTTGGATCCCCTTCACCAATCCAAAGTCTCTTCACAGCACCCAAAACCTTGTTTCAAAATGAGGCCACACATGGTGTCCTTTTCCAGAATGCTACTGAATTTGGCAGTAATTTAGAAGCCATTTCCAAAGACTTTTACAGCCAAGGTCAGATTCTGAAGGAGGCTGAACACAGCTTTCACAGCACATCTTTAGGGGTCCAAGATCAAAACTTGCCCAAGGTTGAGTCATTTTCAGGTAGCACCTCAACAGAGACTAGTTTCAAGTCCCTGCCAGACTCGGGTGAAGCTCACAAATACACAATTTTGGGATCATCGCTCTTGTGCAATTCTGGAAGAAGTCAGCAGTTGGGATTCAAAGTGGAAGAACATCCAGAATATGTTCCTTGTGAGGCTCAATGTGTGGATGAGGATGTGGCCTCAGCTCCTAAACCTTCTGGTATAGCTACTAAAACTCTCCAGAGTCTGAAATATCAATTAAAATGCTGATCCATTTTAGGAAGTTTCAGAGGAAGTCATTCAATATCTGGTACATGGTCCAATATGTTCCCAAATTCTTCTGCTGATCAGTATTTACCTCAACAACATGCTTCAAGTACTCACTTCAGGCCTCATGATGAATCCATGAGTCCTCAAGACTCTCAAGGTTAGCAAAAACAAAGTTTAACTATGTTTTATAATTTCTTTCAGTATTTTGTGCATCCATAGAAGATGCTGCAATGGGTAACAAATTCAAAGAACTGCCTCCTTTGCAAACTTTCAAATCATCAGTGGGAATCATCAAGATTGGCCTTATGGATTCTAAAAACAGTGAGTCTTTCACATTTTTCTGACATGTCATAATTTTTTTTACAAACTGAAATGGGTTCCTGGCCTGCACAGCTCATTGCAGTTTCTGGGAACAATCTTCAAAACTGATGAGATTGGTCATGGAGAAATGACAGTCATAATAACCAAGACATTACAGTCAGCCCCTGCACAACAGACTAGTCCATTGTGTGAAAAGTCTGTTACTCAAATTCAATTCTTAAAAAATTTAAATTTTTACTCCACTATATACCAATCATTTTAAACAAACAGAAGTCTGTTAAATGGATTTAATCCATTTTGTGGATGCAAAAACTTCTTCCAGAGCTGGTCTGTTCAGTTTGTGCAAAAATCTGTTGTGCATGTTGCAACTGTATCTACATTTATTTCTTTTTTTATGGAAAATTTTGAACATTCTGGAATTTTGAACAGTCATTGTTATTCTGTAATTGAAAGAGAAAATATTTCCTTGTAGGTATTCCAAAGGAAGTACCTGCTCAAACCATTTCTGAAAGACCTTCACAAGATGTAAGCTCCTACATACCATTGGGTTATGGCCAAGGATTTGTTTCCTTTCCATTGAGTAAGACACTCATTGTTTCCATGAATGAGACAATGACACAAGATAATAATGATTTGGGTTTATAATCAGGTTCTCAACCAAGCTTGACACAAGCCAGCTCACTGAAATGCTCTGAAATAATCCATCCAAAGACTCCAGTCCCATTTTCTACACACTGTAAAGTCCCAGTCAAAAAGACTCCCAAGAAACCAACAACCATCAACCAGCTGGCGAAAATGTACCTCAGAAAACATGGTGTCTCTGATCCCCTGAGACAGGATATGGGTGACTGTAAAATGGAGCCTGTTGCTGAAAGGAATAAATTCTCCTGTAGTGTGAATCCCTTTTTTAAGACACTCACTGGTGGTGTGAGCATTCTTGCCAAGTCACTCATTGGACTTTGTTTTGCTGGTGTACTGATCTGTGTTCTGGAGGAGCTCATGGAATCTCTACATTGATCAAAGAATGTTTGTAGCAGTGTGTCTGTGTGTGGGAATCTCATGATCTTTCTCTTGGGACTGTCACCAGATTCTGGATCCCAAGGGAACCCATCATCCCAACATTCCATGCTTCTTAAGCTATATATAAAGCCTTGTCTTTTGTCCCCAACCACACAATCACTCTTCAGGAATCATGGCTGCAAGTTCATTCATCATCCTCTTGCTCTGTGTCCCAAGTGCTTTGAGTTTAGATCCTGACATTGCTGCATTGAGGAAATTTTATGAAATTTGGGAAGCAGTGGAAGTGTGTTTGGATCCTCTGAAGGAAGCTGCAAAATTTGCCAGAGAGTCTGTGTTGAGTGACTCAGACAATTCAAAAAGAGCATCTGATGAAATGTTCAAGGATTTCAATCAGGAGTCAAAAGCATTGGCTAATTCTGTAGTCAATGACCTGCTTCAGCAAATCACTGCTGTCAAGGAATATACAACTGAAATATCACTACCAGAAGAACACTCAGCAATAGAAACCAATCAACTTCCCAAAGACCAAGACCCAAGCAAGGAAAATACTGTTCAAATCCCTCAAGACCAAGTGCCAAAACCCAAAGTGGACATTGAACTCACACCAATGTCCAATAACCACATTCCTACTCCAGCAGTTTCTTTTGAAGAAAGCACTGAGTCCTGGCAAACTGATGTTGGCAAAAGCCAAGTGCCAATAGGAGAAGAAAATGGCAAATCTGAATCACCAGCAATCCTGCCTGCAAGTCATGTCAAGCCAAGTGACCTGGGCACTCAGATTTCATTCCCAGGGGCAAGTGCAGAAATGAATTCCGTTCTCAAGCCAAAAACCACTAAAGAATACCTTGACAACATTTTTCCTCTGGCCCCTGAAAACCCCTTGGACAAAGGACCCATATCACAGGTCCTCATGAAATTTTCAGAAAACCAATTAGTCAATGTTTTGTTTTACAATATTCTTTTTCTTTCAAGGGTGAGAGACCAAGAAGACATGAGACTGCAGTGAAGACTGAAATATCACTTACTCCCTCTCTTGCTGGATTTTCTGTGGACCTCATGGACTTTTCCCAACAGGATTTCTCTCATGGTTCTCAGCCGTATGAGGAGGAAATCAGAGAGTGCCATGGAACTGAAAACTCTGGAACCACTAGTGTCTTCAAAAACCAGGTGAAGTCCTCCCAACACTTTGCCACATATACATGTATTCATTTAAATATTAAATAATCAAATAAAAAATTACCATTTCCTGTTAAGGTTATCACAACTTGCATCAGCCAGCAATCTTCAACAGCCAGCCTCAGAAGAGAACAACTCACCAAAGCTTGGAAAGAAAGCACAGAGAAAAGGAAAGCTGGGGTATTCATCATTGTCATGAAATTTCTTTCCACAGGCCCTCAAAACATGTTTTTTCCCCTTCTTCATTTCCAGTCCTATGATTGCAGTGTATTCAACTTTGTTCAAATGATGGAGAGCATGCAATGGGTTTGAAACTTTATTCCTAATTTCACAAGTTTTCTATTTATTTAAATGATTTTTTTTTTGCTGTAGTTTTCAAAAGATGGGGAATGCAAGGAAAACAACACTCAGATCAAGGAGGACATGCACCTTTTCCAACACTTCTGTGAAGCTGCATACAAAGAGATTGAAGGGAATCTGAAGGTGAAACCATTTTCAATTGAATACATTCACTGAAGTTCACCATTTTTAATGAAAATTCCAGAGCCAGTCATCCTGTATCAAGAAAAAAGAACTGGCACACAAGTTTATCTTGGAGGTGAATAAAGTTTAAATAGAGTTTCCTGTTTGCCAATTGTAAATATGCTATTCCCATGTTTCTTTTTGCAGTGCTGTTCAATGAATGAAATCGCTCTACAAGCAACAGCAAGGACAGATGAGCACCCAGATGAGCAAAAAGAAGATCATAGTCTCTCTGCAAAATCTGGTGGAGACCTGACAGAAATGCCTGGAATCTCAGCAGGGTCATATTATCAAAAGATGTTGGCAAATCTGCCAAAGAAAAATTAGTTGCATGGAAATAAACGTTGCCTTCATTCTTCAAGTTGATTCATGATAATTTATATTCACATCAGAAAATTTTGTGTTCTCTTTTCACACAGAAAAACAATCAGTAGCATATGCCTGAGGTTGTCCAGCATATATTTGAGCAGCTGTGGTTAAAAGAGGCATTAGTCCACAGGAACACTTTCCAGAAAAGTCATCCAGGTCTACTCCCCAAAGCATGACACCTCCAAGGTTGTTTTCCAGGACATACTCTGTCTTCTTTCTCACATTTGCTGGGTTTTCAAAAGATACCCATTGCTTGTCTTGCACTGCAAAGGGCCCAGGGTCCTGGGGACTGGTCAGCAGGGTCCATTGGCCCTTTTTGATCTTTTCACAAACCTTCATGTAAACAAGTAACATTTGAATATCATGCTACAAAGTAGAAAATAAAAATGTGACATAAACTGAGAGGCATGCAGGCTCTGAATTTGCTTCTCATTTGTAAAGAGAATTGATGAAACAACCACCCAAATAAATAATTGCTTATATTGGCAAAAACTTAGTGAAATTTCACATAATTGTACATTCAATTTTGAATTTGGCACATTGATACAATTTGTGTGGATTCATCCTCCAATGACTCACAATGAATAATTTCAAGGACCAAAATTTAAGAAGTGTGCAGTCTAAACATCTGATTTTTGTTCCTCCACTCACAAAGAAAATTGATAAACCAAGCAACCAAGTAAATAGTGGCTTAATTTAGCAATTAATTACTCAAATTGCATGTAGCATAATTTTGAATTTTACCCATTAATATAATGTATGTGGATCCATTATCAAATGACTCAGTAAGAATCCTATCATGGGCCAAAATGTAAGAAGTACAGTATATAGCTTTGTTTTTGAAATTTTACCTCAAAGTAGGCAAGAAGGCCAGCTGACTGGGTCACTGGACCAGGGTCACCTCTGGTGGCCACCAGTTCACCAGAGTTTTGCCCACTGGTGATCTCTTGCAACTTCACTGTCCTGCCATGACAGGGCACAGCAACCACCAGTTTGGTTGGATCAAAACCCTTGCTTGTAAGCAGACCAATTGTGAAATTCTGCAGCAACAATAACAAAAAACCTCAGTTGCATGGATGAATGCACCACGACATTTCCATGAGTCCAGGGCAAAATAAATTGTCCCCAGAAACTAACAATGCCTTCCTAAATCTTGCATTGGAACAATTAAAAATGTATGCTTGGAATTTAGACATGAGACTACTTACAACATTGAGTTCCTTTTGATCAACATCTGGAAACAGGGGTGCCAAGTGAGTGGGAGTTATGGTTGCCCCCTCCAGGTTCTGGTAGTCAAAAGTGAGGACATTGAACCAATCAATGTCCAGGGTTGCCAGCTTCTCAGCAATGCCTCCTCTGATGACATCAGGTCTTCCAGGAAGAGATACTGACAAAAGCAGGTTGTTTTCTCTGAACTTCTTGCTCAGCTCTTGCAAAAATTCCACATACAAGAGTTTCTCATCAGGAGTCCCTTTGCTGCAGTCATGCTGAGAAAAAAAGCAAAGTTTTTGAAATTTGTTTTTTAAATGGTCTTGACCTTTTTATTATTCAAAAAGTCGATATTTAACATTGTTTGAGACAGCCCCAAAAAATACCTCATATGAAAATTGCTTGTAAATTATTCTTGTTTTCCTTGAAAAGTTTATTCATTATTCAGTTTTTCCCATTTTGCATTGATACCATTTTTCTCTACAAAAGTTGAGCCCTTTCGTGTTCTTGACTTGGTGAATTACACTTATTTTTGATTGAGGTATGAGTTGTAGTCCAGAAAAAATTAAATTTTGCAAGTAAATCTGAAGGAATATTTTATTTTTCATGATAAAAATCATCCCTGGATGTTTGATATGAAAAACCTTTAAAATTGCTTAAAGTGCTGCTATTTGGCAATAATTTGTTTGCCATTTAAAGGAGACATTTTAGCAGATTACCTGCCAACAGAGGGGAAATTCCCAGTCAAAATCAAGTCCACTGAATCCAGCTGTCTTGAGTTGCTCAACTGCACTGTTGATGAAAGCAGTCCTGGTTTCAACAGAGCTCATCATGGCAGCATATTTGCTGCTCACAGAATCACCCCAACCTCCAACACTGGCCAAAACTTTGATTCCTTTGTCACCAAGAGTCTTCAAGTCTTCATAGAAGCCTGTTTATATGATATATGGCATGAGATGAGTGACTTTTATCAAAGTCTATACAATTTTACCTTCAAAGTGTCTCATCCTTCTGGGCTTCAGCAAAAGAGTTTCTTGGTCTAGTGTTGCATATGCATGTATGACATGTGTGCAGAGATTTCCTTGAAGATCCCTCAGCACTTGGGTGACATATTGCCCAGACTCTCTAGAAAAAGAACATTTTGTTGAAAAATGTTTTAAATCATGAAAGAGAAAGATATTGACCTGTATCTTGCCCAGTTGGTCACATAACAGACAATCCTCCTCACTGAGGTTTGCTTGACAGCTTGAACTGGAGACTTGTCCATCACATGTGACTCAGGAAGACCAACGCAGAATCCCTTCAGTAAATATACAATACTTTACATCTTTGAAAAAACTGAGTTTTACTTCAAAAGCAGGAACTTACCAAAGTTGGTTCAAACACCATCCCAACAGAACACTGGAAAAGGAAGTAGGCGCCATATATGCACCCATAAAAAGAATGATGGTCTGTGGGGTTCTTGAACCCAAACCCATCTTGGCAGGGTAAGGGAAGAACAATCTCAGTCTTTGTGGAATCTGTAACTCGAAAAAATCAAAACTGATTATTAGGTTTCCTATTCATTAGTGATGCCTTCAATAAATATGCTTGTTATTTTTTTCAGAAATGGTTTGTAGTTTGCAACATACATCACAGTTTTCAATTTTTGCTTCACATTCAGGCCTATCAGGGTAAAATATTTTGCTACTGCTCATTCCTTGCTCCTGATTACAGGGTATATGCAGTTGATCCTTGGTTAACAAATTCAATTGGTTCCAGAAAAAAATTAATCAATAAGTTTCTTAACAATATTTGATTTTCCCATAGACCAAAGTGGAAAAGAATTTCATCTGCTCTGTGAACCCAGAATACAAGAGAACATTGAATATAAAAAATTTACAACAATCAACTATAATCTGAATACTGTGATTGTTGCATCTTATATATGTGCCCAGAATATTTTTATTGTGTTAAATGAAAATAGCACTGATGAAAAGAAAGATGAAAACGCTTCACATCCAGAAAAACATGCATTGAAGGATACATGTCAGGTGAACATGAAATTGCTCACCAACTTTTTCATTTTCAAATTTGGGATTTTACTTCATAAAGAAGTTTGTTGATTAATTTTGGTTTGTTAACCAAGGGAATTTTCCTCAAAAGTTTTTTAACCAAAAAGCTTGTTAACTGAGGATCAACTGTACTTGGAATAATTTTCAGGATAAATAACACTTTGAAGAGAACTGTGGAAAAAACTTGCCTTCCAAGTCCACCCTGGTCACTAGACTGTTGACTTCAGGGCACCTTGGGTCAGGGTCAGAGACTGCTTTAGGTCTCATAACCCTGTTGATGGTCCTGAGAAGTGGATGAGGCTCACAGCCACAAATGTTCTTAAAATCCCCCAAATCCAGTGCCCAGATCATGCCACCAGCTAATCCCATGTCCAGGGCCCACTGGGACTTGAACTTGATCACCTGTTGGTCATCAAACCCTACCCACTGAGACCCCTTGTAGGCATATGGTCCAATAGTGTCAGCATAGTCTCTGTTGACCATCCAACCTTGATTCCTAATCAGGTCACATATCTGCATGCATGGGATCCAGACAAAAGAATGAAAGATTATTTTACGACCAATTGTCCAAGGTATTCCATGTAGTTTTCTCAACCTCATAGTATGCAAGGAAGCCACCAGCTCTGGTGTACTGTCCTGCTTCACCATTCCCATAGGTCTTAGCATTGTATCCATTCTCTTGTATGTCTGCCAGGGTGAAAGAGCGTCCATACAGAGGGATCCCAAGCACCAGCTTCTTTCTGGGGGCACCTTTGGCTATCCAATAGTGAATGGTGTAGTTCTATCAAGACAATGACTATGTTTAAAGATAAGGATGTTCTTTTCTCTTGAAATGAAGGAGGTCTCACAGTGTTGAAGTCATAGTTGTCATCATCTGGATGATAGAACATGGGTGCAACATGTCCTGTCTTTTTGTCCCACTCTCCATGGTAGTCATATGTCATGACTGAGATGAAGTCCAGGTACTTGGAAATCTCAGGTACATCATATCCTTCATCAATCACTTTCTATGAATGAATGAACAGAACACTTTATTTGCCGCTTTTTAGCATTCACAAGGTACAATCAAGATTTCCACATCCAAACCCCCTCCCCACCCAACCCAAATCCCCTCAAAGACCTTTAATCACTTCAAAGAAGGAAACAAAACTCTATCTATAGAACAAAGATATTCTCAGTGTTCACAAGGTACAATCAAGATTTCCACATCCAAACCCCCTCCCCACCCAACCCAAATCCCCTCAAAGACCTTTAATCACTTCAAAGAAGGAAACAAAACTCTTTCTATAGAACAAAGATGCGAGCATCACATCAATTATAGTAGGGTCTTGGTGGTGGTAACAAACACTATGAATTCCACCAAGTTGGATTCAAATTGTGCCAATTCTTGATTGAGGACATTTTAAATTCAAGACTAACCTTGCTTGGAGACACAGCTGCAGTGAGAAGCAATCCCTTGGGTTCATAAGCAGCTTTGAGTTCTTTGACAAATTGAGCAAACATGGGTTTGTCTGACTCTGGGCCCTTTTTGCACTCCACTTGCCAACACTTGGGGTATTCCCAATCCAGATCCAACCCATCAAACCCATATTTGTCAAGGAAGTCCAATGAATGGTCAATGAACTTCTTTCTGGCCTTGGCACTGTTGACCAGTCTGGAGTATTTGTCCCCTGCAGAGTCATTCCATCCACCCAGGGCAAGCATGACCTTTTTACCTTTCTTCTTGTTCTCCAAGACTTTTTCATAGAACTCTGGGAAATTGATGAAATTTTTTTTTTTGTTAACATGGGTGATGCGACACAACTGACAGCAGAAATCATATGCAGTGGACCCTTGGTTAACAAGCCTGATTGGTTCCAATTAAAAGTTTGTCAACCAAATTTGATTTTCCAAGAGACTTACTTAAATGGGAAAGAATTTAACCAATTATATGAACCCCAAAGACAATTGAATATTGGATGTAAAAAATTCAAGGCCATCAACTTTTATCAGAAGAAGTTGTTGCTGCATCTTATATGAGCCCAGAATGTTTTTACAGTGCTATTTGAAAATAGCACATGATAAAAACAAAGATTGAAAAAGCTTCATATCCAGAGGAATGCACACATCAGGTTGATGTGGAATTTCCTTTTTTATGCTGCAAGTAAAGATCAAATAGACATTTCTAACAATTGAAAAATTAGAAAAACCATGCACATAAAAGCAAATAATTCTGTCAGAGAGAAGCATGTAAATAATATTTCTGAAACAAATTTTAAAACACAATATTACACGTACTAAAAATGCCAAGAGGAAGGAATTTTCTTATCAGTGCATAAGTTAATTATTTGTACTTGGATTATAGCATGAATTTCAGTGTCAAAATCAAATTTGGAATTCTAAAATTTGGAATTTTTACCACAAAAAATCTTTGTTAAACCAATTTTAGTTCTTTAACAAGGGGATTTTTCCTGGAAACCATAAGTTTGTTACCTGAAAAGTTTTTAACTGAGTGCCTTGTTATCCAAGGTCCTCTGTAAACTATACTGACTGTTATCAATGTCTGCCCATGAGTCATGAGTCCTGATGACCAACTCTGTGTAGTCCAAGACAGCAAAGCCATATTGGATGTGGGTGCAGAGTGAAGCATCAATGTCTTCAGGCTTATACTTGCCAATGCCTTGTCTGTGAAAACCAAAAAAGGCCACAAATATAATCAAAACTTTCTGTAACAAAAGCCAAAAGCATTACCTGTACCAGGCCCAGTTTGTAAAGTAGCAGACCACAATGGCCTCATCTGGTTTTGTAGGTTCAAATGCATCAGACAGATGAATGACTTTGCTGTCTTCTTGCTGCAGAGAAACTTGACTTGGTGGAGTCCTGGTGGTTGTCAACACCAAGGGCTTGGTGAACACACTTGAACTTGGCTGCTCTGTTGTGGTGGATGTTTTCTTAGTTGTTGAGTCATCTCCAGGGTAATTTCCAGCACAGTCAGAGGCTCTCAGAGTGGTGCAAGCTTGCATTGACTATTATTTTTTTCAGATTATTTTCTTCCTGATGAACAAGGCAGAGATGCAATCATGTTTCTAACCTTGCTGAAGAATGTCCCTGAACCACAAGGCCTTTTGATCCATCTTCCATGAACACACTCTTTATAGGTTTTGCAATCATCATCAATTTCAGCTCTGCTGAAGGAATCTGTACACAGATCTTCTTTTTCACTGGATGTTGTTGATGGGGTCTTGCTTGTTGTTGTAGCAACTGAAAAATAAACACAATTTTTGGAAATGTTTACATGCACTTTATATGAATATCACTATTATTATATTACTTTTCTGAGTTGTTGTAGTTGCAGTAGTTCCTGATGTTGTTGTGCCTAAGGAGAGAAAAATCAACAAGGAGTGACAATTGTGATTCAGTGCTTTTGAATAATGTCAAGTACAGTGTCCTACTTTTTTGAGTGACATCAGTTGTAGTTGTTGTTTTTGTGGCTTCTGTGGTGGTTCCCTCTGGGTTCTTCCCCACAAACTCTGTGGATGCAATTTAAATGAAGCATTTGTTTTTTTTTCATAAATTTTAGATTGTATACCTGACTGTGAAGAAGTTTCTCCAAGAAGGACAGATTTGATTGTGTTGAGCAGAGGATACTTTCCTTGACCACAAACATTCTTAAAGTCATCCAGGTCAAGAGCCCAAATCATGGCTCCTCCCAGTTTCATATCCTTGACATACTGTGTCTGTATATTTTTAAAGAAAACAAGTTGAAGAGCCTTTGGTAAAATGAATTTCAAGTGTGTGTTGTTGCTGTTTACCTTTTTGGCAATGATGGCCACATCATCAAAAGACACCCATTGGTTTCCCTTGTGAGCAAATGGCCCAATCCTGAGTTCAGGATCAATTTCCAAGATCCAGTTCTCTCTTTGTACCTGCTCACATATTTCATAATAGGCTAGGAATCCTGCTGCTCTGGTGTACTTTCCTGCCTGACCTTTCCCTACATGGAAAAAACAACACTTGTTTGTCCAAGTCACAAAATTTGAAAAAAATGGACAGATTTTGGTCACAGGTGATAGTGCAAGTTATCCTGGGAGTCTGGGCCATTTTTTAAAGGCTCTTTGAAGATCAAAGTAAACTTTTCCCCTCACCTTCTGCCTTGGAGTTTAATCCAGTGTCTCTTGTGTTGGACAGAGTGAAGCTTTGTCCATACATTGGCATCCCCATGACAAGTTTTGATGGTGGAGCACCTCTTTGGATCCAGTGTCTGATGGCTGAGTCCTATGAGCAGAATGGAATGTATTTTACTGGATGATTATAGCAGTGGTGCTTTAAGCTTTAAAAACACCCTCCATTTTTTTGAACAACAGATGTACAATTTAGTGGGCGTTTGTGAATTGAACTTTGAGGTAGAATAGGAGTGCCAACATGGTAAAGGTGGTACCTTGCAATTTGACGCTAATTCATTGCTGGACAACAGTAAAATTTCAAAGTGGTCCAATTGCAAGACAACATAAAATGGCATGTTTTCTACATGGCATTTGATGTTCCATGTCTCTCCAAAAGTCAAATTGCACAGCAGAGGTCGAATTGAGATTTTACCTTCCAGCAAATTCAACCATAAAATTGTAGGATAGTTGAATTGCAGGAGTTTGAATTGCAAGTTACCACCTGTACATAGATTCAACTATTTGGTACAAGCAGAAGACAAACAAAACTATGAATCAAAGCTTAGAATAAGTTGAAAAGGGGGGAAACAGTTTATGACTTACAGCATTGAAAAAGTCCACCTCATCATCTTCATGGTAGAACAAAGGAGCAACATGACCAGTCTGTTTGTCCCAGTGTCCATGGAAGTCATAAGTCATCACAGCAATCCAGTCCAAGTGTTTGGCCAACACATCCACTTCATACCCAGCATCAATAACAGTTTTGCTTGGAGACACTGCTGCTGATAACAGGAGACCCTTTGCTTTGAAGGCTGTTTTCAGCTCTATGACCCATGCAGAGAAGCCTGTCTTGTCAGACTCTGGGCCTTTGTCACAGTCAACCTATGAATCAATATTTATTTTCTGCATGTAGTATTTTTACATACTTCAAGGTTTAACTCACCTGCCAGCACTTTGGATACTCCCAGTCAAGATCCAGGCCATCAAACCCATGCTTTTCAATAAACTCCACCACATGGGTGATGAATTTTGCTCTTGCTTCAGGATTATTTACCAGTCTGGAGTATTTACTGCCTTCAGAGTCATTCCAACCTCCAATGGCAATCAGAACCTTGATTCCCTTCTTCTGGAATGAGTTAACCCTTTCATAGAACTCTGTAACCATACAATAAATGTTAAAGAATATTAATTTTTCTTAGAGAAGATTATCTCATACTGTTGTCCATATCTGCCCAGGGGTCATGTGGCTTGATAGTGAGCAAATAAGGATCCAGCACTGCAAACCCATAGATGATGTGAGTGCAGAGCTTGTCATCAATGTCCTCTGGCATGTATTTGCCAGCACCAGTCCTGTACCATGCCCAGTTGGTGAAGTAGCACACAAGTTTGAAGTCCCCTGCAAAATGACAAAAGGGTAATAACTGACCATCATGTAATTAAATCTTATGCATCTTTAGAGTCAACTTACCATCCACAGCTTTTGACTTTGTAGACATGACCTTTGGGAAAGTTGAAGAAGTTATTGGTTTCTCCGGTTTAGAGACTGGTGTATTTGGGGTTGTTGCCTCATCCTGAGGCACCTCAATTAGGCTTCCAGCATCATTGGTGCACTTGGCAAGAGTTGGCCAAGTGCAAAACAGTTCCTGTTTTACAGGGAAATTAGCACTGAATGTACAGTTTTTTGCATGAATATTGCCTCAAGACTGACTTTTGGACTGAAGTGAAGTCCTGGAGGGCATTGTCTGATGACCTCTACACCGCCCACACATTGAATGTATGTTTTGCAGTCTTCTGCTGGGTGATACTTTCCTTGGTCACACTGATTTCCTTGTTTGGCTTTTGCATACTCTGTGGGTTAAATGTCACCAAAAATGATATAAGGAATTAAACCACTGCTGGTGTGGTTTAAAAGACAGGTGCATATTTTAACAAACATTGCAGATAACAAACTCGACACTTTTAAAGGTCCAGCACTTGCTTCCAAAAAACATATTCAGTCAAGCTGGAACAAATTTATTTTTTTGATAAAGACTTCATTGTACCTTTTGTTGCAGTGGTGAGGTTTATCTGTCTTGGTTTAGTTGAATGGAAAATTGAAAGATTCATCTGTTCACCATTTTATGCTCTGCTTCCAATATAAAATTAGCAGAAATCTCCATGCCTTTCATAGTAAGCAAACAAAAAAGTATAGAGAAGGAAAAATAACCTTGGAACCACCACCTGTACTTTCAGCCCTATGATTTGGCACAAAAAAGATAAGATGAAGCATATCCTAGTGTATCTTCCATATACTCACTGCTGGTAAGACAGTCTGATCTGTAAGGCCAATCACAGAGCAAGTTTTTGGAATCAAAGAACAACCCTGGTGCACACATCTTGGTCACCAGCTGACCAGAGCTTGTACACTCCAAGTAGGTGTGGCAACTGTTGGTGTCTGGATACAGGGCACCAATGGCACATTGTGGGTTGAGAGTATCTAGTAAGACTTGCTGTGGGATGTAAGCAGTTGTTGGCCAACCTGCTATCCAGCCTGGAAAAATTTATGAAATCCTTTATTTTAAATAGCATGTCCTAAAATACATTGAGAAAACATTATCTTAAATTTTTCAGGCATCTGATTTATTTATTTTTTGCGCCTATTTTGAAGTTTTTCCTGTTTCAGCTGATATGCTGATGATATTTATACAGTATGAGGTGATATCAACTTACTTGAGCCTGGGCCAAAGACATTATTGGAGGCTGCCTCAAAGCAGGTGGATCCAGGTCCTGGTGGCACACAGAGTTTTCTGGCACTAGAAAACTCCATTCCTGGTGGACACCACCTCCTGACCATCTTATTCCTCCTGCATTCCCTATAGGCCACACAATGGGTCCTATCTGCGAGTCTGTCACCATCTTTGCACATTTTATTGGGCTTCTGAGTACTTGTGCTGGTTGTTGTTGTTGGCTCCACAGCATTATCTGAACACAAACATTAACAAAATTATTTCAATGTCAACCATCAGCCATCCCTGACTATGATCTCACCCTTTTTGCAGTTGGCTCTGTAGGAATAGTCACAGAGTCCTACTTTGCTGGAGAAGTGTAGGCCTGAAGGACACATGTTTCTGACCTGGACACCATTCTCACACCTAATGAATGCTTCACAGAACTCAGGATCTGGCAAAAGCACACCAGAGTTGGTGCACTGTGTCTCAGCAGCACTGGATGGTGGAGTGCCCAAAGATGTGCTTTTTGTTGTAGTGGTTGTGGTGGTGGTGGTGGTGGTAGTGGACTCAGGTTTGGGAGCAACAGTTGGAGAAGACTCTTGGTCACCTATAAATGGCAAAGAAGGACAGTTGACCAACTGTTGAGACCCTCAGTTTGATGATGGCACAAATTAAAAGTGTCACTGCACAAGATATGGTAGTACTGTATTTTAGATGTATCCAATGGTATTCTCATACAGTTTTGAACCAACCAGAGTCATAAGTGGTGGTTAGAGTAGGTGGAGCTGGAGTTGCTGGAGGATTTGGTTTGGAGCAGTCCAAAATACTCTTTGGTAGGATAGCAGATGATGGAATGTTTCCCAGGGCCACATTGAGGGATTTCAGAATAGGAAAGCTGTTTCTGCAGCAGAGATTCTTGAAGTCATCCAGGTCAAGACTCCACACTGCTGCTCCAGCCAAGTGGTTCCTCTCTATGTATTCTGCCTAAGATTTATAATTTTAAAAGGTATGCCTCAAACAGCTTCAAGAGAACAAATCAATAAATATTACCTTGCTGGAAACAGTCGACTCATCATCAAAGCTAGTCCAGGACCCACTACCAAAGGCATAAGGTCCATGTTCCTGAGTACCAGACACCTTCTGCCAAGCACCATTTGCCACTGTTGAAAGAACTTTGTTTGTCTAATTCCATATCATGTATTACTTAGTCCCCCTTGTACAGGTGGTACCTCACAATTTGACCATTCTGCAATTCAATGTTCAATTTTGCAGGGAGTTTGACTCTTAATTCAACCTCTGCAGCACAATTTGGCATGTGGAGAGACATGAAAGATGAAATGTCATGTAGAAAAAATGCCATTTGATTTTTTCTCACCATTTTACTGCTTTGAAATGTGGCCCTAGTTTTCCAGCAATGGATTAGGGTCAAATTTTGAGGTACCACCAGTATTCTGACATACCATTTGAGCAGATTTCCATGTAAGACAGGAAACCAGGCTGCTGAGTGAATTTTCCAGCTCTCCCTGGTCCCATTGCTTCACTTCCAGGACTTGTGCTGCCACTTTCCCCAATGTAGTAAGAGTAACCAAACAGAGGCACTGTCAAGATGATCTTGGATGGTTCTGCACCTTGGCTGACCATGTATGCTATGGTTTCATCCTTAAAAAACATTATTTTTGAATTGAGTCATTATGTACATGAAAACTTGAAACCAACCACACTCATGTCCTGGGTGTACAAGGGTGCCAGGTGACCAATGGTTGATTCCCAAGGACCATGGTATGCCATAGTGTGTGCCACCAAGTAGTCTGCATGCTTTGACAGAGCTGCAAGGTCATAGCCAGTCTGAATCACTTCTGGTGAACCAGCAATGGCCACTGACACAGTGTACTCCTCCTCCACCTTTCTCCTACTGGTCTTAGATGACTCTTCAAATACATCATGCAATTCCTGAAATATAGAAAAAGAATTGCATGAACCATCACTGATGACAAACTGAATAATTTTGATATCTCCTCACTTGGATGAAAGCTGCAAAGTTTGCTTTGTCACTGGATGGACCATCTTGGCACTTGTTATGCCAGCACTTGGGATATTGCCATTCAATATGAACACCGTCTAAAGAATGTTCCTTCAGAAATGATAGTGTGTTCTCTGCAAATTTCTTCCTCTTTGGAGGACTGGCTATCATGTCAGAGTACTTTTCAGACTTTGCAGAATCTGCCCAACCACCAATCCCAAGCAGGACCTTGAAACCCATTGAGTTTTTCATTGAGACCAGCCTGGACAACCAACCTGTGGGTTAACAAAATAAGGATTACAAGGCTTCTCCAAATAGATTCAAATGTTGGTTCCACCATTTTCAAAGTCTGTCACTGTGTCCACTGTAGCAGGGGCATTGGTCTTGGGGTCCAGTCTGAAGTAGGAATAAATAACATGGCTGCAAAGTCCAGACTCAATGTTTTCTGGTACAAATTTCCCATCAGATCTTCTTTGCCTTGACCAGTTGGTCAAATAGCATAACACTGGTTTCTTGCTAAAGGATCCATCATCTGCAACACAACATGACTCATGAAAAATGATGCATCATACCAAGAATTGAAATAGTATCAAGAATAAAAATACTTGCAGTGGACATTATCACATCAAAAATGGCTCAGACCAAAACCTCTTTGCAAAAATACATTTAATGCAATTCAGCATGTTTTGCATGCATGACTCAAATTCCAAACCAAGTTTCACTCTGAAAGTCACTATAAGGTTTGCAAATTGATGTATTGTTGTACATAAACTTATCTAACCTCTGGTTTGAGCCAATTGGTCAGTTTCACAGCCCTTCTCATCACAGGACATCTTCTCTGGATCAAAAGAGAACCCACTTGGACACTTGTACAATGTGGCCTTTCCATTTTCACACTTTGTCACCTTGGAACAGTCTTCAGGGTCTTTGAAATGACCATCCATCCCCAAAGTGCAAAAACCTTATTCAGAATTAAGTGATTGTTGTATTCAAATTTCCAAGAGTTTTGTTTCAGTTGCTGTAAATTATACCAGAAGTAGTGATGGTTTCCAGGTTCTCTGTAGCTGCAGTAAGCATAGGCCAAGGCATCCCACACAGCCCCAAGTAGTCATCCATATTCAGCTGTACCAAACCCACCCCACCAAATCCCTTGATGTACTCCAACTTGGCCTTGAAGCTTTCCAGGTCATCATAGGACACTAAATTGCTCATGGATGTGGCATATGGTCCTCCAGCAATGGACTTGAGCGATGGTTCAGCTTCAATCAGCTCTTTTTGCATCAGCTTCTGGCAAAGGGTGTGGTAAGGCACTGTTGGCTCTGGAAATGCCTGGAAACATATTTATTTTTTTTATTATTAAGGCTTATCAGGGAAAAATAAGTGAACCTACAGAGCCTGTGGGTGTCAAAAGAAAGTGGCTCTCCAGATGAGTCCTACCAAAGAGTGGGTTTCCAACCACAAGTTTCCATGGTTCAATCCCTGCACTCAACCACTTATTGATGGCTGTCACCTGAAATTCCACACACACAAAATGCTTTTCACCAGTCCATGAAGAGTCAACTAGGCACAATTATGATTACCACATCATTTGCAGGTAGTCCATGGCCTCCAGGCATCCTCAATGGTGAATGGTGTGAGGGTAACTCCAGTGACAAACCTTGATCCAGGTCAAAGGCTGCCAAGGTGACCCAGTCCACACTATCCCTAATGGCTTGTACATCATACAAAGCATCAGCCTGTTGGTAGAAGTTATTTGGTGCACTGACCCTCACTGCCAAAATATACTTGTCTCCCAGTTGGTCTCTGAAGACCCTCAGGGTCTTTCCCAGTAAATCTTGGTGATCAAACCTGTGCTGAGCTGCAATATATAAATGTTGTTCCACATTGAACCAAAATTTCATGATTGGATTACAGTATTGTCTCTTGCACTAACCTTGTATGAGTGTGTAGGACAAGTCAATGCCATCAAACCCATGCTTTTCCAGTTGGGCCTTTGCTTGTTGTGCCAAATGGGTCCTCCTTGACTCAGTCTCAGAGTGTACAAAGAATTCAGTGCCACCATTGTGCCAACTTCCTATTCCAAGCAGGAATTTGGCCTCTGGGAACTTATTCCTGAGCCTCTGTGTTGCTTCCTGCTCTGTGTGTTCAAGGTAAATTTTGAAAATCCTTGACTATATTTCCAAGGTAACTTTTTAAAGTCCTAACATTATTTTTCTTTCTTTGAACTTAATTTCTAGTGGGTTGAATAAAAATAACAGGATGGGGTAAATGATTGATCAATGAGGTTCTCACAAACCTCTGGAAAGATCCAAAGCAGTAGGAGAAACAGTTCTGCCAAGTTTCTGCACCTCATTGGCCTCATAGACATAATGAGTGCAACCTGGTGCTTCCAGCAGTTTTTCCAATACCATTGCATCCAAGTGCAAGTAACACACCACTTTGAATCCATCTGACAGCATGATGACAAAACATTACTTTCAGCCCTTTTCATGTTTCAATGATGAAGCAACTGTACCATTTGAGACCATTAACCCATGAGTGGATCTTGCCTCAGGCACTTTTCCATCTCCCCAAAGAGGCACATGCAACCCTATTGCTCCCTCAATAAGGCATCCAAGGGCTGAGACCATCAGCCATAATTGTTGACTCATGCTCAAAACCTTTTAATGCCTTGTATGGAAGGAAGGATTGCATTAGTCAGCAGAAACACTGGAATGGACAATACAGGTTCAATGCACTGGCAGCATAAAGTTCACAAGCTGTCATTAAATGAAGATAAGATGTATATCTTTTTTTCTTATAAATTTATGCTGGAGTTCCTTGAACCCAGAACCAGCTGGGTCTTCTTCATTTTCATTGTTCCATAAATGTCACCATCAAAGTATTGACATGTATGAGATCTCATCTCTGTTCACAGACAACTTCAATCCATCTCCCTTTGAAAAAGGTTTCTGAAAACACTTTGAAATTTTCAAAAATAAAATTCAACACATTATTTCACAAGGAATATTTTTTCTTTATTTCTGAATAACTATTCAAATAATGATAAAAACACTGCAGCAAGGATATTTTGATGAACAATTTTTTCTTCTCTCTACTCTATTCTGAGCTGAAGAACATATAAGGGACCATCTCAGGCCAAAGGCAGGCAAGAAACTGGATCATCTACCTGCTGGAGCTCCTCTTAATAAAAACCCCACCCAGGAGAGGAAAAAACCTTTGGGCCACAGAATTCCTTGCCCTGGGGGAAAAGCCGCCTGGTCAGTGACCCATTGCCTGTATGTATCTACTGGATCCTCTTCATGTTTGATAAAAAAAAAAGGGAGAATCTCCAACTGCTTCACATTGTTTTCAGTCCTCTGAGTAGTGGATCTGGTTCCAAGAATAGTGGTTCTGTCATCATGAATCCTGGAGTAACTGTCACCAGGGAGAAAGAAAAAATAAGGGAATAAGAGCAAAGGAGATACATTCAGACATCATAGAAGCCATTAAGAGCTTGTCACGTTTTTCATGAGGGACCTTTTTATGCCTGACTGAGAATCTTATTCTTCATCATTGTAACAAATCACATCTTCTTCCCACTATTGTTTCCTGTTCATCTCTGAAAATTCATTATAATTCTGCTGAGGAAGTTTTTATTTAATAATTTTACTGGGTTCTGGAATGTACAGTAAATTATATTGAAATAATGTGAGCACCTCTTGATCCCCAACAGATTGGGGATAAAAGTGAGGAAAAAATCTTGCCATTTTAGCTGTATGAAAATGGCTGCCTCAAGTTTAAAAAAAAAAAATTTCACTTTTTTCCCAACCAGTATATGTTTTCTTGAGGGTATTAACACCATGCATGTGTTTGAAAATATATTTTTAGATTTATTACTCAAAACCCAGGTACCTGATGAACCTGCATTTGATAATGGAGGTAAATCAGGGGCCAACCCAGGCATGAAACCAGGTCCCCCAGGCACATTAATCCCCAACTGTCTGGCCCTTTGCATGATGAATTCTTCTCCAGGCTCTGGCCCAATGTCAAAGACTTGACCACCAGCCTGAGGTGGAATCAACTGAATCCCAAGACCTGCTGAAATCCCAAGAAATTCTAATGAACTTATCCTGTGAGAAGGAAAAAAAAGGAAATAACACTCAGCACCAGGAGAGGGACTGGCATCTATTGGAGCAGGAGGAATCAGTTCTGTCATGCTGGAAACCATTGCTGCTGGAGGCTTTATGCCAAGGAATTCTTTATCCTGAAAATGAAACTGTTTTTTTTTTAGTTCTGGATTAATGTGTTTTTTGAAAACTGACCATGTCATTCAAACTGCTGCCTGAAGCTGGTTTTGGTACAGGTTCAGGTTTATTGGTGGGCATTGCTTGACCCCATTGGCCATCTTCTGCCCTTTTCCTCATCCTGTCAATCCTTGCTGCCCTCTGGTGGTTGGTAACACAACATTTGCACCTTATTATTTTTGAAAGGCATTGGTAATATAGTTTTTTTTTTCTCACAGCATCTTCTCTGGCCCTCTTCCTATTAATTTCCTCCTCATACTCTTGTCTCATCCTGTCTTGTTGTTCTCTGGCTCTTCTCTCTATCAGCTCATCCTCTTGCTTTTCCTTCTGTAGTCTTGCTTCTTGGGCTGCTTTCCTGGCTGCAATGTGCTCCTGAAGTTCCCTTTCATGTTGTGCCTTTAAATCCCTTGGATCTGGCATTTGGTCTGCTGTCTAAATTCCATAAACCAGCAATGACATAATTTGTACATGGTGCATGTAGTTTCACAAGTTTTGAAAATGAAGACAAAAATGGTGATTGGATGTCACATCTTCCATCCAAAATTTACCCAATTGGTCCACTTACCATTGAGACATGTCCTCTTCTCACTTCCTCCCAAATATAAGCAATAAAATATTGAAAAGCAGTACTGTATGAATTTTATAATTATAGAAACAACCAGTTGATATGTGTACCAACTTGGCCTGTTGACTGGATAGGGTGATGGAGCAGCAGGGTTACCTGCTCCTGTCATCTGTTGCTGGTTCCCAAAACTGGGTCTGTATCCTTGTTGCTGAAATTGGCCACCCATACCCATGATGGGGGCAGTCTGAACAAGTCCCAACATCATCAGATCCCCATTGTCTATGGTGTGTGCTTGTTGGTAACCCTGCTGAATCCTCTGCAACTGTGCATTACCACAAAAGGTAAATCTTTACACATATATTTGTAATCAGGTCCTGCTTAGCATGAAAATGATGAAGATTTTTTTTATTATTGTTCTCACACTGTCAGTGACCATTCCAATGTCTGGATGGACTCCAAATGAATTTCCTCTGGTTAAGGGTGGTGGTGGTGGTCCAAAGTCCTGGTGCAGTCTTCTGAATGGCCCAGGCCCTTGGGCAGCAGGTGGCCCAATCCCCAGGATATCTGTCCTGGCATGAACTTGTCCTCTCATATCTCACTCAAGATTTCACTGTTTAAGAGAAGAGAAAAATGCAATGAAGTACAATATTATAGTTTGTGGGAAAGAGGGCAACTGAAAAATGTCTTAAAACTGCACATAAATTCAGAAAAGTTCACAATACATTGAAGAAAATGTTTCATATTTATGATTGAAAAATACTGTGGATACTTTTTATATCAAATCTTGAGATTATTTTGAAGCAAAAATGTCCTGGCTATTGTAACAAATATTCTTTACTCCTTATTATGCCAATACAGTATGATATGATGCAGTATTATTCCAAGTTTTACAGTTTATAATCCAGCTGTAGAATAATTAAACACAATATGATGTAAATCCTATGCTTGTGTATACAGTACAGTATATACATGTAATGTATACATAGACAAAACCTTATATTGTCAATTTTTTTCAGATGAACCATATTACATTGCGTAGCAAAGTTACAAAATTAGGCATGATCATGCTCATACATTATGTATATACCATACTGTATATAGTTCACACTGTATTTATGATTGGTCATCATCAGCAGTCACATACAATATCACACCTGTTTTGCCACTGCTCCTGAGGGGAAAACACTGACTGCTTGTGTTCATGTGATATAGTGTGCCATGCAATGGGTGTGATGTTGACACTTCATGGTCCCCCTGGCAACACAAGGGGAAGGCAAATCCATATCAAAGATTTTCCCTCCCTTTGCTAATATTGTGTCTGGGGGAATTCTGGACACACTGAAGGTCACCCAGGACTTTTATAACCAAAGTGAAGTTACTCAAACATGTCCTTTCTGAAAGTGGCAGTTGTCCTCATTCTTGCAACACTCATCCAATCACCATTCTGTCATCCAACTTCCCTAAGGACACAAATCAACAATTCCAGGATGGTGCGTATATGGTTATACAGATGGCGACATCTACATAAAGGCAAATATGTGATATTAGTTCATTTTTTCAGGAGAAGCGTAAAGATGTCGCTGGAGATCAACACGAGCCGCTGCCTTCTGTGTGCCCATACTCGTGTCCAAATTTCTTCGGTACCTGCTACGAGAACGTCGGTGGCGATGTATTTGATTGTGCCACTTGTGTCTTTTTTTTCTGCATGTAATTGGAATGCATTTGTCCGCTTGCGCGCGAATTGTTGCAAACGGTAATTGACATGGCGGCGCTCTGAGTGCGAGTCGAAATTCAGCCGCCGAACATTGAACCCGTCCAAACATGTGATCGGACTTTCATTCTCTTAGTCGCTACCGAAATCCACCTCGCGTACGAAATAAGACTTGAATTTTTTGTGATGTTACGCATGGATGTCCGTGCTTATGATTCTAGTGGCTGTTACCGTTGCCTGATGAGTGACGGTAGTGTCTGAATTCCTCTGGTTGTGCTACCTTCGAATTCACAGTGTGAAAATCTCTCAAGGGTAATACAAGAAGAATTCCACCGTGAACTTCCACCATATGCCGTCGGACGATGCAATTTTAAGTGATCTGATTTATTCGCTGAAGCGAGACGGTGAATCTGGACCGAACCTCTAATCCGACGTATTCTCTGGTGTTGATGTGAAGACGTTATCGGTTTCTGTGAACAGAAGCGTGATCTTCCCGATTCATGGATTAGAACGTGAACTTTACCGACGGTTATCGTACTTGTGACAGTGTTCTCAGTTGAAGCTTGCTTCTCGCCGTGCCAAGGGAAAGAAACGCGATGGATTACAATCTCAAGTGCATGAAGGAAATCGCTCGGGTTCCTTACGCGACTAACGTGATCACCGCGGTGACGAGTGCAGAGAAACAACTGAAGGTACGTTCGTGCTTCTTTCTATCCACTTCTTGGTGACTTTGTCGGTGTGACGTTCCTTTTAGTTGTGTTTCGCAGTCCGTTGATACCGATTGACATTCCGTATCCGTGGTTTACGGTTATATTCGGGGTTAATGGTGTTACGTGCAAGAATGTAGTCTGCGATACGTGGTTTCTGTTGAGATGGCGGGTTTGGTGCTCGGGAAGT